AGATTCAGTTACACCATATGGCTATTTTGTGTTAAGCCAACCACTACTTCACAGAATCTCTATGTCGGTCTGACATTATGTCTGACATTAAATTTATAATGGGAGATAAACATTTTAACACTTACTGCATAAACTGCTTCCAAAGACTCTCCTCAAAGGTATGCTTTCCTGTGGTCCCCTCCAATGGGGCACGTATGCGGGGGGGTGGGTGCTCCACTCTATTTTTTTTCTTAAAGGAACCCTACAATAATGTTACAAACCCCTAAAATAGACTCAGATCTTACCATTTTTCTAATTCAGAATTGATGATCTCAGCAAATACAATTCTTTCACATATGAAAGTATTGGGAGCCAATTGAGGCGATGATCATAGAGATGCATTGAATCAATGCATCTCTATTGGGAAGACCAGCATCTCCATGCAGAGTGTGGAGACGCTGAACGATGTGCAGCACTAAGCCAGGAAGAACCTCTAGTGGTGTCCCTAGGGAGCAATGTACACACTATATTTTCTCTGAAAGGGCAGTGTTGCCATCAAAATGTCTACAGGGACATGCTACAGACACCAGAACAGCTACATTAAGTGGTAGTTGTTCTTATGACTATAGAGTCACTTTAAGCTTCAGTGTTTGATTGAAAAAAATCACATAAGTACACAAGCTTACATTTTCCAGGGAATTCATAAACGCTTTTATTCCTTCAACACTGCCCACTTTTCTCCTTGCTTAAATTGGTTAACGCAAGTTGATCTCAGTGTTGGCATCAGAGGATTCATGGCTGTTGCAGTTAGTAATTTTAATGACCACATTATTTTGTGTGTGAACACGTGTCTTCAACACTTCCTTGTTTCTCTGTCAGTTTTCTTGGAATAAATAACTAAAATGTGTTGGTTAAAAATTGTTTAAATGAACCTTTACAGGTCACAAGCATTCCAGTTCCTTCGTTTGCATCATCAAGGCATGGTAGCTGCCTGTCTTTAATGCATAATTTACAAGGACAACTGGAAAAACTATCCCTGAACTCAGGTTCTGTGAGGCTATCCCGCTATCCACCGAAATGGTGCTCTGCGTGGGGCAGACACCGCAAATCTGTCCAGTAAACTCAGAAAGATGAAGACACAGGTGACACGCGCAGGTATTGACAGTGTGTTTGTTGGACTGTCCGCCACCCTCATAAATGTGAAAGTTTTATTTTTTGAGAAATGGGGAACAGAGAGAGAGGATGGTCTGGAACATACCTCCAGGGCCATGAGTACAAAGGACTTCGATCTTTGGAATGAAAGCACTTTTTGTCCTCCAAATTCCAAAATGTTTTGCGTAGACTCAAAGACTTGAGTATTGATGCTCCATGTATATTAGCACTTTTTTTTTTAGGGGTTGGCTGACCCTCCAATAAACACACCATCAATACCTCTAAGTGTTGCCTGTGTCATCTACTTTAAAAGGATAACTGTCACCTCAAAAATATTTTAAATATAATAATCCTTTCTTCGAGGAGTGAAAGGAAATATATATTTTTAAACTTGAACCTACCTTTAACATGTGACAAGATCTTACAGCCATAGACATACACGTTGGATCAGACAGTGTTTGAAACCTGTCAATTAGTCTCTATGGCCTTCTATGGCTAGTCTCTATGGTCTACCCTGCCTCACTTCCTGCATACAAGCACGGAAGACCATAGAGACTACTAAGGTTATTCACTAAAATGAGAATTCAGAGTGAATTAAAGAATTCTCACTTTAGTAAATAACATTGTACCTTGCTGAAAAGCTTTCTGTGTGAAAAGTGTGTTCTATTTTAATTTTATAAATTAACCTGGTTACACCCTCTGGCTGTCAATCAGATAACTGGTCCAGTTACTTCCTGGTTTGGTTAGCTCAGTGGAGCTAAACTCAAGAGACAGCAATTGCCCAGAGCACCTGTATTTGGGAAGTTTGTGATTGGACAGCCATGGAAAATCTGGACGGGGTTAGAAAGGGGTGGGCTTGCAAAGACCGCAAATAATAAAATACAGTTTTTACAAGTGGTTTTTAAAGATAACGCCAAAAAAAAAAAAATGCAAAAATGTTTTCATTGTGGGTATAGCTACTGAACAGCAATTTTTAATTTATTTTGTATTTGGGCAGTGGAATGTCCCTTGAATTTTTAAGAATAAATACATTTCCTTTCAATACTTGGTGAACGTTGTCCTTTAAGGAAACTTGAAAACTTTAAAATGGTCGAAAAATTTAAAATCCAAAATATTATAGGCCAGTTTATAGGATGTCCAAATAAGGGCAATGAAGACTAATCTTGCAATGAATAGAGAATCTGAATCAGAGAAATTGAAAGTTCAGTTAAAAGATTCACTCTGAAATGCTTTTTGGCGTCTCCGATCAATTTAAGAAGACAGGATTGCTAGAGTATTTAATGGATGGTGATACTCATGTGATGTAAAGGTACATTACCCTTAACATGTGATATGTGCACCCTGCCAAAGACTTTACAGATAGTCTGCAACAATTTCAGCCAAAATAATGAGCTTTTAGCAGTTTAACAGAAAATCTTGAGAGAAATAATGAATGGATTTTAGCTCAATAGATTATACATTCGAAATAGGGAATGATGGGATATTACAGTTTTGGCAGACAGTATTTCAAAGTAATGACAAATGATCTCGAATACAACTGTTTACAGATATTTCATTGCAGAATCAATACAAATAAAGAAAATAAATACTTTCTGAACAAATAATTATTATTTTATCAAGGGGACACTTCCAGCTCTATAACAAAGTGTGTTCCTTCCATAGATTATGGTGAAAAGAGCTCCTATGTCGCTTGAGAAGGAAGATTATGCTTCCCTCTGCCTGTCCGAATAACTGTGAAGAAGAAAGGGGCAAAGCCAAATTTATAGCTCAATCTACAAAGCTGCAAGTTGCGTTTCTAGCTGCTATCAGCTTAGGCAGCAGTTTCCCAGTGGCTAGCAAGAGGCTGACCTGGACTGGAGTCCCCAAGTGGTGTAAAGAGAAAAGAATACGAGGGAAAGAGGTAGTCTATTTGGAGGAAGGGGCTCGCTTCATCTGAAACATTAACCCCAAATATGCAACATTAAACCTGCACCAAGTGGATTAAAACAGTGAACCCACAGCTGTATGCCTTCATTGGCATGTCTAATTAATTCCAAATATGGTGACATTGTCACAAATTATGTAATTACAAGTGTTACTTCTGTCAACATTATAGGTGACTCAGGGCTAACAAAGTAAGTGTGCCAAAATCAGACCTGGTGCATTTCAGGACCCCACTAAGGGCTCCAGTCCATGTTGACCTCTTGTATTGCATAGTACCAAGATGTCTCTTCACTGCATCACAATATTAAGTCCTGCCATTCTCCTCCATATAGGATAAAAGTATTGTAGGTCAATCTGACATGTTTCACCTTGCCCTCAAGGGTTTATCAAAGCAATCCCTGACAATCTGTCTCCGTACTCTTAAATAGCCCCAAACCAGCTGATTGTTACCAGATGTCCCAATTGTCTATGCACATCATTTGTCTTCTACAGACAAATGCATCACGTATATCAAACATTTGTTACAATGTGTCTGAAAAACCATGTTATAATTCTAAATACCTACAAAGAGAGAAGAGAAGCTAAATAAATGCCTAAAAAAGAGAAAAATAAAATGAATCAATAAACAAATAAATGGAAAAAAAAAACCACTACAGAAAGGATAAATATTCACTTTTATCTAACAGTCCAAAAAAAAAACCTGTTTGTTTACACTTACTTGTACAAATTACCTTCTTAAAAACTTTATAGCCGACTATATTTTACCTTTACATAAAAAAAAAAAAAAAAAATGCTCTTTTTAATATATATATGTATATCAAGGGGGATTATTGCGTAAACCAAATTCCTATTTTAAAAAAACTATACGGAAGTGGAAAAATGGGACAAATTTCATAAATGTTTATCAGTACTCATGTCATGTTCTTGAGCAGGTCAGATAGGAGACTTTGGCCAGGTTTGTTATCGGAGACTTTATTGGTGCTTTTAGACATATTATGAAACTTGAGAAAAAACAGAATTAAGGCAATATGCCACAAAACAGGATACTTGCAAATAATAAAGAAAGTCTGATCTCCAGGTAGGGTTGAAACAAAGTCAGGTTGGTATCAAAGGAAGACTGGTAACAGTGGAAGGCTGGTAACAGAGGCAGGCTTGTAACACAGAGGCAGAGGTCAAAATCATACGTAAGAGTGGAGCAGGGTTGAAGGTAAGTCTGGAGCAATTTGGTACAGAGCAAGGTTGAAGGTAAGTTTGGAGCAGGTTGGTACAGAGCAGGGTTGAAGGTAATTCTAGAGCCGGTTGGTATGGAGCAGGGTTGAGGGTAAGTCTGGAGCAGGTTGGTATGCAGCAGGGTTGAGGGTAAGTCTGGAGTAGGTTCACAGGAGCCAGGAACTGAAGTCTTTCAGGCAAATCACCAACTTCAATGTAAAGGCCCTGTTGTGAGCAGGGTGTAGCCTTATGAAGCCTCTTCATTGGTCCAGGCAGGTGAGGATGATAATGTGAATGAGGAGATTAGTGGCTAGGGAGACCACGAGAGGCAAGAAACAAGCATTACATGAAATAATAACAGAAGAAAATGAAACATGTTCCTGGTTGCCAGGATAGGATCCTGACAACTCATCAGTATAGAAAAAAAAATGATGAATCTTGTAGCAACCTTAAAAAAAATCTAAATAAAATAAATACTATAGTAATAAAATATAAAAAGTTATATACCGTATATACTCGTGTATAAGTCGATCTCATGTATAAGTCGAGTCCAGTTTTGTGACCAACAATTGTGAAATATGCTATGCCTCGTGGATAAGTCGAGGGTAAAACTTGGGGCTATGAAATTCTGTGATTTTTATAATTATATACACACACACTCATACAAACAAACACTCTGCATTATATACGCACACACTCATACAAACACACACTCTGCATTATATATACACACACTCATACAAACAATCTGCATTATATACACACACTCTGTGTATATAATGCAGAGTGTGTATATAATGCAGAGTGTGTGTTTGTGTAGTGTGTGTGAACTAGGTGGGAGGAGGGCATTTTTATTATTTTAATTTTAATTTTATTTTAATATTATTATTTTTTTATTATTTTAATTTTTTTTTGTCCCCCCTCCCTGCTTGTTAACTGGTCAGGGGGGCTATCTTAATCCCTGGTGGTCCAGTGGCATGGGCTGTGAAGTGGGAGAGCCGGCAGGAAGCATTTACTTACCTTTCCTGCAGCTCCTGTCAGCTCCCTTCTCCTCCGTTCCAGTCAGCTCCACTGTAAGTCTCGCGGTCTGGTTGCCGCGCGGATCGTTGCCATGGCTCTGACAGCCGCGGCTCTCTAAGTTGCCATAATACAGACAGTGACTCGAGTATAAGTCGAGTGGGGGTTTTTAAGCACAAAAAATGTGCTGAAAAACTAGACTTATACTCGAGTATATACTGTAAATCAAAATTAATATTAAGTCCTTTAGGATGCCATTCCACTCCAGTGCTTATCTAGCTATAACTAATAAATACCTCTAAGATTTCAAAAATCATTTCAAAGTTGCTGTGATCATCTCTAAATAAAAAAAAGGCCTGTTATCAAGGCACCATATATAAGTATCTTACCAATAAGCCTTAAATAAATTAGCCATTTCATCGAAATTCCCATGCAACCCAAAAATACCATAGGACCAATTAGGAACTACTTTGTCTTTTGCACAGGCCTGAGGTTGATAAAAGGCGGGATGGCGGAGGGATTCAGACATCTCACTCATCACAAATGTGATTTGTAGCCTGGGTCCCTTTGACCCACTTGAAACTTTATTTGAATGCACTGACTCCTACAGCACAGAAATTAGGTCATTACTTTAGCCCAATGGTTCTTAAAGGACAACTATAGTGCCAGGAAAACATGCTCATTTTCCTGGCACTATAGTGCCCTGAGGGTGCCCCCACCCTCAGGGTCCCCCTCCCGCCCGGCTCTGGGGAGAGGAAAGGGGTTAAAACGTACCTTTTTCCAGCGCTGGGCGGGGAGCTCTCCTCCGCCGATCCTCCTCTTCTCCTCCCATTCGGCTGAATGCGCACATGCAGCAAGAGCTGTGCGCGCATTCAGCCGGTCTCATAGGAAAGCATTTACAATGCCCACACCCTCAGGGTCCCACTCCCGCCGGGCTCTGGGGAGAGGAAAGGGTTAAAGGAGCTCTCCTCCTCCTCTCCGCCTCTTCGGCTGAATGCTTTCCTAATGCTTTCCTATGGACGCTGGCGTCTTCTCACTGTGATTTTCACAGTGAGAAGCACGCAAACGCCTCTAGCGGCTGTCAATGAGACAGCCACTAGAGGCTTCAGAGGCTGGATTAACCCATTTATAAACATAGCAGTTTCTCTGTTTCTTTATTAAAAAAAGGGTTAATCCTAGAGGGACCTGGCACCCAGACCACTTCATTAAGCTGAAGTGGTCTGGGTGCTTAGAGTGGTCCTTTAAACCCCTGATCCCAATATTCTTTTAAATGTTCAATTTGTTACTTACAAGCTCAGTATACTCCCTGGGACTTTAGCAGCTCTGCCTCCACATCTGAAGACAGAGGAAGTTATTTGCTAAATACCAGAATATGGTAAGTTCAGAGCATTATGGAAACACTGAGGCTAAAATAGTCCAGCGGTGACAATAGCTGAATTGGCGAATTTTGGCAAAATTAGCTATTTTAACCTTTATTTTAATTCGCTATTATTATGACTTTTGTGAATATACCTCTGAACAGACAAGCTAATGCCATGTACATATTTTTGGTCACTGGCAAAAAAAAAAGAAAAGAATCATTACTCTATTCTGTTTCTTCGAATTTTGGAGTTGTGTTATGTGGCATGTATAATAAAAGTCACTATTCACATATTTATTTTTCTTTCTACGTTTCTTAAGATACAGCTAGAACGTTTAATCCTGGCTTGACGAATCTCCATTTTCACGTTTGTAAATGTTCTGCTTTGCTACATTTATGTAAGGGGTATGAAAGGCAGGATGAATAAAAGCGTAGGGCTGGTAAGACTTGTCTCGATACACTGCATTGCTAACTCATTTAGCTGAAGCCCGCCTTCTTTCCATTGATGCTAATCTGTCAGCTGCATCATAGCCTTAGGCAGAACAGGCCATGGCATTGCTAAATCATAGCTAACGTAACAATTTAGACAGGAACAATGTCACAGGTTGTCATCAATGATTGGCTTTGGTGGTTGGCAACCAACATAAATAGAGGGGACCCTTCTGTATGATCCAGCAGCTGGATCCTAGAAGGTGTATGATCCATCTCTCCTTCGTTCCTTTCCCTACTCTACAGCCCCAGGCAGCAAAAAATGGATCTCATTGATAGCCATGTGAATGGAGAGGTCAATGGCAATTATATTGACCACTACAATGGGGTGGCAGCAGACATGAAGAAGGTTTTAAAGTTGCACAAACACAGTCAGAGCAAAACTGAAAAGGAAGAGCTGCTGGTTTTGGAAGATGCATACAGTAACATCCTGAGTGAGCTGGGAGAGGACCCCGAGAGGGAAGGTCTTCTCAAGACACCCAGCAGAGCAGCCAAGGCAATGAAATTCCTCACCAAGGGATACAAGGAAAGCATCTATGGTGAGTCCCCCATTCATTTCATTTACAATTCTACATGTCCTGAAATGTGTGATATTCTTTTATTATTGTATGGATTCATTGGCATATTGAAGCATACAATGGGGCTATATCTGGTGATCAAGGAATTATTAACACCCATCACTCTAAGCCAAAGAAAAATTGCAGCCTATTACAGATTCAGAGTCTGTCTCATTTATGATGCATTGTATTTTATTTCAACCCACTAGAAAAAAATTTAAAAAAAAATAAAAAATGAATGAATAAGATTCTGCTCTTCTTTGAATTTTAGAATCTACTCTTCACAGTCAAATATTCACATTCTTTTTTCAAACAGGCTTGCCATAACAGCATTGACAAGCACGCATGAAAAAACTACTGATAAAAAGTACTTCTTCTGTTTTAGGGGAACATCTGGCTATTTATAGGTTAAGAAACTTGCTGCCTTTTTTTTGTTTATTATTATTATTAATGTAATAATATGCTAGTTATTTAATAATGAATCTTCTTTAATTTTCTTTAAACATATGAATTTGTTTTGCTTTATAAGCCCACCATTTGTACACACCCTGCAGTTTAAAAAAAATGTTTCACTACAGTAGAAAGTTGACATTTAAACTACAACTCCCAGAAACTCTTGGCAAGCAAATATGGGCCCTATAAGATCACTTTCTGATTTGGCGAGTATCAGAATACCAGATATAATTATATATATATATATTTTTAATTATTGTTCTTGCATATACATTTTATGATATTATTCATATAGTGATATTAGAGGGGCATGATCTATGCACTAAAAGTGCTTAATTAAGTCATCTTGATGCCTATAGCATCCCTTTTAAATAATAAAATGGATGTAAAACTGTGAGTTGTAGCTCATGAATACCAACAAGAATAATGGAATAATAAAAAATGCTTAAAATATAGTTTTGTTTTTTTTAAATCCTTTGAAAATAGTTTGATCGTACAATGTGAAAAAAAAAAAGGGACACTATAAGAACCAAAACAATTTTAGCCTAATTACGTGGTTTTGATGTATAGATCATGACCCCGCAGTCTCACTGCTCAATTATCTGCCATTTAGGAGTTACATTACTTTATTTATGCAGCCCTAGCCACACCTACCCTGGCTGAGACTTACACAGTCTCTCTGCACACTTCCTGAAAAAGAGTCTTCATTTTTTGGCTTCCCTATTGCACAGTGCATTTAATTTATAATTGATCTCTCATTTGTTTAATAGCCTACCACAGCCTCGTGATTTTAATTTAAGGTCAATTAACAGAACAGGAGCAAAAAATGAACTTCTGAAGTAAACACACTGTGCAGCAAAATCTGAAAATAAAACCAATTTTTCATAGAGGTTGTGTAGAGTCTGAGCCAAGGGAGGTGTGGCTAGGGCTGTATAAACAGAAACAAAAGTAATTTAACTTTTAAAAGGCAGATCATCAAACAGTGAGACTACAGGGGCATGATCTATACACCAAAACTGCTTCATTATGCTATCAAATGTAAGATAACTGTAGGACAATTACATGTGTCAGATATTTATTTAGTTATGTACTATTTAAAAACCAGGCATTCATTTTCTGGGAAAAAATAAGGAAGGCCTTTAGCTAACATTAGCTAACAGCACAATAATCTCCATTTCTTATAGATATACTCAACAATGCTATATTTGACGAGGACCATGATGAGATTGTTATCGTAAAAGATATTGACGTATTTTCGCTCTGTGAACATCACCTCGTACCATTTTTTGGAAAGGTATGTGGAATTTATTGAAATGATAATTTTTAGTAAAATTGTAAGCAAAATTGTAAGCAACACGTGTGACGGTAGTCACCATCACTGGGGATGGAAGACAGACACTATGTGTGGATCCCCAGATTCCTTTTGTGTTTTGGTCACCCTGTGCCCATTATTGTTGCAGAGTTTGTTGAATGTATTGCTTGTTTGTGCCTCTCGCCCTCCTCCTTATTCCTGTCCTATTGTTTCCCCAGCAGGGCATTGTCCCAGGGACACTGCCAGATCAGTTTAAACTAGCTGTTCTGTCCCTCCTCAATCTCCCATCAGCCCTTGCTATTGTCTGGCCCCACACTTCCCTGTACTATAGTGCTATATGTACCCTATTGTGTGTAAATGAGACTGTTGGGGGCTTAAAATGTGTGCTATGTCTATTAAAGTTAGTTGCTGTTTTAACCTTCACTAAGTGTCATCTGGTGTTTAGGGGAAAGGGATATAATCTGCTGATGTAAATTGTGTCCAGGGCTTTAAACGCAGTAGCCTTGTACAGGGTGAAAAAGGCCCTCAGTGATCCCAGTCAAGCCTCGGCGACTGGGTCTAAAGTGCTCCAGGGTCCCTGATAGCTACAAGGAAACAGACTTGGCGGAAGTACTCGGTCGGAGTACTGGAGCTCCGTCACAACATGAGTATTTCATACATTGTACTTAAATGTAGGAATGGACTGGACAGTCGAATGGGGCTGAGAAAAATCACCAGCAGCCTCTGGTTCATGTATCTCTCAGATAGAAGGAAAACAAATATAAATAAAAACTAATTGTATTTCAACTCATCTTAAAAATCACTTCTACATAGTAGCTGTGTGGTGCCATGAGTGCCCTAGCACCATCCTCTGGTAAGAAGTCAGACTGTTTTAGAATGATTTAACAACTTACCTGGGTTCCTCTTGGCCTGCACTGCATCAGCCACATCTAGTCTTTTTCAGCAGGAGAACCTGGATTGTTCTATAGAGCAAAGCAATCTGATGTGTGACCGCGCTCATTGGTTAAAAATGCTTAGTTGCCGCTAATGGAAGTGATCTTGCTTTAGGAGTTAAAATTGAAGTATTCCATGTATGATGTCAAAGTTCTTTGCTTTGCTACTGAACTTAATCTTCTAACGCAGAAATAGCAACATTGCACATATACAAACCCCTTTATATCTTGTTTTTACGTCTCTGTATCGGCAGGTACACATTGGATATTTACCAAACAAAAAGGTTGTTGGATTGAGCAAACTGGCAAGGTAAGACCAAAAGCAAAAAAAAATAATATATATAATATATATATAGAAAAAAACCATGGAAATGATGTGACATCCACTACATATCGCCTTTAACCCCTTAAGGACCAAACTTCTGGAATAAAAGGGAATCATGACATGTCACATATGTCATGTGTCCTTAAGGGGTTAAACTTTAGGAAACTTCAGATAGGATTTTAACAATGTTGTACAGAATTATTCCTCTTATTTCCCCTTCTCTTTGCTCTCTCTCTATTCCAAATGGTTGTCATTGACTTGTAGTAAATTACCTTCATTTTAATATACAGTAAAGTAGGATGGTCTGTTTTTTTTTTTTTTGCTCTTTTTTATTACAAACTCATAACTTACAAAACCATAACTTCTTACATAAAATATTGTTAAATCAGTGTCTTGAAGAATATGAACTTTAAAATGTTTTGCTTTGTTTTAGGATTGTTGAAATCTTTAGTCGAAGGCTGCAAGGTTTGTACATTTTATTTAATCATTTCCGATTTAATTAAATGTATACCCCTGGTACTGTGTCGTAGAGGTCTGCAATGTTGTTTGCTATATATCTGGCAAACGATGTGAAGTTATTGTGCTACATATCAAGTGCTAGGCTGCCCTCAGCATTTGTGGAACGTTGCACCTTGTGCTAATTCTTGAAGGGCCTGTTCTACACCTTTGCACACTGTGATAACACTCATCATATCTGATACATATCCATTAATTCAGTGTTTTACAACATTCTTTTGACCAGGTGCTGCAGGGACATGATTAGACTGGATTATGCCAGCCAAATATTGTTATAACTTATTTGTACAGTTCACATGACATTCACAGGACTATATGCTCTGTTTAACTAGAATAACTTAACCTAGTTTTATAAACAGAAAAAAAAAAAAACAACAATACGGTAGGAACTTTGAAGGGACATTGTTATGAAACAGCTAAACGCATTTCTTCTTAAAATGTATTAAAGTATTCTAAAGTGTTAAAGAACTTTAAATATCACCAATACATTATGCTAGCAGAAATGTAGTACCCTTTAAAATGTTGACCCTTCTCGCACCTGTCAGTTGTCAACATTGGTCTAAGCAGAGGACTGAGTGACAGGGAGAGTAAGAGAACCATGTCACAGGTGGTTTTATGCTCCTTGTCACTATGCTACTGTCCCAGACCCTCCTTACACTTGTAAGAAGGTATAGGATGCTCCAGCGCTGATGTGCTAGAAGTGGAGACAAAAAAATTAAAATCATAGACATCACTATGGTAAATTAGATATTTACAATCTTGGTGTTCTATATTAAAGTGAAACCGTCATGGCAGGTTCACTTTAAAAACCAAACGCAGATGGGACAGGTACATGGCAGAAAAAAATATAACTTTTTATCCTACAACTGCTAATGAATACAAGCTCTACATATTAAAGGTCAAGAACTGATAAACTAAGCCATGATTACTAGTGTCCTTGTCACAGACATAGCCCTCTTTATTATTCTGTAAATTATATTATTTTTGTTCCGCAATAAATTATCCTGACTTCCTTGACTACAAGTTCCAGCTGAACCTAAGCTGGAACAAAGCATTTATGGGGCCTTCCTGCTTCAAGTCATTGCAAAAATCAGCTCAATAACGTATCACCGTTGGCTAACTCAGCTGATGTGTGTTCTCTGCTTCGCTATCAGATGTATTCAAATCACCAGAACAAAACCCTCTATTGTGATGTATCACCCGGTTCTTGCACGTATTAACAGCTCTTTGTACTAAATGTGACTGTCTGTTGGCCCCGCAAGGAATAATAGAATAATATTAAGCATTTTGTATCGTTCTAGTTCAAGAGAGGCTGACAAAACAAATTGCATTAGCAATCAACGAGGCTCTGCAGCCAATGGGAGTTGCTGTGGTCATGGAAGCTTCGTAAGTAATCTGCCACAATAAACTAATTGTAAACAGATTTATGTCTCTGAAGTCAAATGTAGCTAATTGAATAGAAGTCTGCTGGGAGTCTGGCTAAGCTATACTTGCCAACTGTCCAAAAAATGGCAGGGCAGTCTTGACACAGGGCCATTGCAGTGCTGGTTATAAATGCATGTACAAGCCTTTTTACATTGATAATTGGTGAATTATTCAGACTCTGGAATTTTGGCCTACGTGTTACAATTTGTAGTGAGCAGTGCCTCAAATATAACACAACTTTAAAATAGACTACAAGGTTTCAAACTTTCAAATTGTACTTATAAGTAAAACAGAGAGACAGCATTTTGACCTGTTAAAGATGAACAGGGTCTGAATAAAAGGCAAATGTACTAAACATCAGAAAACTCAAAGAAGGAGGAATGTTGGTAAATCAAGATACTTTGACATAGGAAAGTTTTTTAAAGTATTACCCATTCCACATTTTATTTTAGATTTATCTACAGTAAGAGATCGAGTTCACTTCCATTATCTTCCTTTCTTCACTAGCACAGCTCATTAGACTGAAAAATATTAATTATGATAGCCATAATTAAATCTGATCACCATAAAACACAACATGGCAGCATAGGAACATATTTACATATGTTGTTACTTTAATTGATTGAAATAGTTTTGTGGTTTTATTTTGTGTGTGATAAATTTACTCTTCTTTAAATTTCAACTAACTTGCCAAATAGTTCATTACAATTGTTTGGGACTCAATATTTTGATTTTAAATTAACGTATTTCAATACAAATTATTGTTCGAATTAGTTTACCATCAGTAGACATGTTTCATGGAAATCCTGACAAAAACCCTTCTGTTTCCACAGGCACATGTGCATGGTAATGAGAGGAGTACAGAAGATGAATAGCAAAACTGTGACAAGCACAATGCATGGGATTTTCAGAGATGATCCCAAGACAAGGGATGAATTCCTATCACTCATCAAGAAATAACATAGAAACGTTTGTGGGAGGATAATCCTCATATTATTGCAATAGTTTTGTTTTACACAATTCATACGCGTTACTGAAATTGTATGCAATGGTGCTAACTATAAAACTCTTGTTTTCTTACAAATCAAAAATATTGTCCACTTGAACTTGTAAATTCTAAAACATTTGACTCAATAAACTGTATATTTTAAAACAATGTGTAACTGTGTTTAAAGGAACACTACGCTGTCCAAATTTGTTCCTTGGGGGTAAATCTAAAAAGAGCTTGCAAAAACTGCAGTTCTCATGTCTGAAGTCTTCCCCTTCTAATCCCTCACAGACTTCCCAATGCAGCTCAAAGAGAAAGAGGGGGTATAACAAGGTTTATTTATAACAGTGCCAATTTCTATTGAAATCTGCAATTTTGGTAAAAAACAAACAAACAAAAAAAAGTAGAAGAGGACACATCACATATAAAGCACTTCAACAAGCTGACACACTTTAGGTGTTGAGTATCCCTTTAATATTGTTATAAACCCCCAAGAAAACTCAAAGCAGGGACATTTGGTTTTAAACCACACGAGTTCGAGAATTATATGTTAAAGCAGCCAAGCTAAGCTAGAAAATAAATTTGGTAAATATGTCTATTTTGACCTAAAACTCTTTTCTGGGACCATTCCAGGTTAACTGAATATTCCTGACTAGTGCCAAAATGCACAGAAATGAAGAAACACAAAATGTTGGATAGTATAGGAATTTCACGGTTTAATTGATTCAGAATATATTATGATGTGTTTCCGTGCATCAATTAGTTCTATTTTCCTTTCTGATGTGTGGATTTTGTATGGCACCTATATAGTGCAAACCCTGCTTCTGTGAATTGTCTTGTCTACCACATTAGCTATTTATCTAAATAGCTAAATATTAAAAAAAAAAAAAAAAAAAAAAAAAAAAAAAAAAAAAAAAAAGGATTTAATGTGTTTTGAAAGATAAATGACAGGAGAGAAATACAATGATTCACAGCACTGGGTTATCACTTTCTGTGAGATTATGTTTTCTAGAATAAAAATAGGTCTGATTTAAAGTAAAATTCCACTGCCCAAATTTAAAAGAATAAATAAGTCACTGTTTCGTAGATATTCCCCCAATGAAAAAAATTTAATAATGCATTTTTTTTTATTGGTTTATCCAAAAACAGCTTGGAGACGCTGCAGATCTCGTGTGCAGCCTTTGCAAACCCTCGCCCTCTAACCCTGTCCAGACTTTCTGTGGCTGTCCAATGACAGACTTCCCAATGTAGGTCAAAGAGAAGGCTTTACAAGGCAGGTGCTCTGAGCGATTGCTGCCTTTGGAATTCAGCTCCACTATGATAAACAACCAGGAAGTAACACGACCGGTTGTATGATTGACAGCAAAGGGGTGTAACGAGGTTCAGTTAAAAAAGTTCAAATTTCTATTAAAATCTGCACTTTTTGTAAGATGCGGGGGAAATAGATAAATAAAAAGAGTAATTTGAAGTGTTTAGTGGTCTGCAGTGTCCCTTTAATGTGTGCTCTTATAACAGGGTCACTTAGTAAAAGGTGCCAAATTTTCTGTACACTGTAATCTTGGTTAATAGTGGTATAATACAACTAAATAAAATAAATAAATACAAAGTGGGAATTGGGGTCACACCCAGAACTTGTATTTCTAAGTAGTGGTGCTGAGTACCCAAACACGGGAATTCAGTTATACCATATGCCATATTGGGTCTGCCTTTATACCATGCCTACTTAAAGGGACACTATAGTCACCAGAACAACTACAGCTACAGCTTAATGTAGTTGTTCTAGTGAGTATAATAGCTCCCTTTAGGCATTTTCATGTAAAACACTGCCTTTTCAGAGAAAAGGCAGTGTTTACATTGCCCGTAGGGACACCTCTAAGTGGCCACTCCTCAGATGAGGAGGTCCTGATTGGCCAAAATGGCATTTGGCTCCGCCCCTATGGGAAAGCATTGGATTGGCTAAAAATCGGCCGTTTTGATGATGTCATAAAGGGAGCAAAGCCAGCGCCGGCGAACCCGCACGGTGCTGGAAATCCGTCGAGTTTTAAACTTTTATAGGGTGCGGAATACATATTTGTGTTCCTGATCCTGTAGTGATCCTTAGTGAACAGTTCGAGATTAGTGGTAGGCACCACCGCCAGTATAACAGAAAACGAATCATCATCTCATATATACATGTTTTGTACCTGTGAAAGAAATGTGTTTTCAGGGTGTGCAAAGATATCCAAGTATTGTACAGGCCATATTGCCAGTGTGAGGCAGGCAGCAATAGCCAATTGACAGCTGATCCCAGTATACAATTCCACAGTCAATGATCAGCAATCATGCCATGAGAACAATGTGACTGGATGCCAGAGCAATCCTATGGCGTGTAGGACCCATTAAGTCTGTTACTGGACAGCTGCACATGTCCAGTAAGAGCAAGTACACCCCTCAGAGATATTTATTAATGGGTATCCCTAAGCTTGCTGTGAATGATTAGTATACCTGTGTATTCAATCTCTTCTTGCCTTGGTGTGCATTCAAAATGCTATTTCTACAATGTTTCAAGATGGTTTCACACTTCATGGAAGTTTCAAGCTGCTTGCAACCTGGCCCTCACTGATTAAGATTAAATGTAACTCCACCAACAACTCATAGCAGTTACGGGCAGATGTGACAGGCCGAGCAGTCTGCTGACATGTTCAGCCTGTCACTGCAAGCGCCCTGAGACATTCAATCAGTATTAAACCATTCAAAAATAAATAAGTTAAACACTGAACCGTGAGTAGGTGTCCGAGGACTCCGGGCACCATAATCATTTTAATTAGATTAAATGATATGGTGCCTAGAATATCCAAACAATATGTGGGGATGACCTATAAAATGGTGAATTATTGAAAGTAATATTTACATAAAAATATATTTCAATAAATCGGTCTGCTTTTGATATATTTCTTCCCCGTTAGGAATAATATAATATTTAACTCCACCCAAAAACAACAAATGTCTTATTTCCCCCAAAAAACAATACCTTACAATCAGTCCTTCCTAAATACTTTATTTTTTGATGCAGCAAATAAAAACACTTTTCAGAAAAACATGCACTCTCGTACACATGATGCTCATATCAGTGATAGCTAATTCTGGCACCCCAGATGTTTGCAAACGGTTTCCCAGCCTTTGGGCATCACTGTCCTAGCATTTGTAAAAACTAAACATCAATTAAGTTTCTTGAAATATGAAGAATAAAGTGCTGTATGTAATTTTAATGGATCCATTACTATCACTACGTGAATTATGGTTACATAATGCTAAAGACAAAAAAGAAAGCAATAACTGAAGAAGAAAATACATGTTTCCTCCTTACAACACTGTGACAATTTATCACTGGGTGCACAGTTCCAAAATTAATAAAAATGAATAAATAAAAACAAAAAATCAGCTTAAAGGGGCAATTATAACGCGACCAGAATATAGTTAAAAGTTCAATAGCCAGAAAGGCACATGTGCAACACAATCTATATTGATGAGTTAGGTCCCTTTTGGGTAAATAAAAGTCATAAACAATGCTTTGGATTTCATGCCAGGTTCCAATTAGATTTTGAAATTATTTTATTATTCATCAATAATTTTACTCGAAGGAAATAGAAAACTATCTACCCCATTACCTTACAATTCACTGACCAGAATATTGTTTTTAAATAATTACACTGGGAATCACTCAATAAACTGGGTAAGTTGGACACTTCCATGAAAAAAAAAAAAAAAATATAATATATATATATAATGGAAGAAATCTCTAAATTTGGTCTAAAAGGGTGCAACGTTTACTTCTCCACATTTCTGAGTTTAGTGAACAACCTCCCTTTACTTGTATGTTTGCGGACAATTGCCCTTTATGGTGTGTTGTAATTTCTCTGAAATACATCATTGGAAAACTGCAAAATAGGACAAACTGGTATATTAGTTTCCAGCTCGCTCTTGCCTGCCTCCATCACTCCTCTAAAGCGACAGGTGATGGAGACCAGATATTCACACACAAGAATCTCTCTGCACACGTAGGGACATGTAACAAAAATTTAAGATTATTCCCTCCCCAGTGGTCTACTTCAAGAACTGCAGACTTAAGAAAATATTAAATTTAACTCTGACAAGAAAATTATAAAGCTGTTGCATTATGTCAAATAGGAACATGTAAATAAAATGAATTAAAAACCCTAATTTATTTACAATTTAAGCCACTTAGAAATCTCAACCCCTAAACATATCACCTTTCCAAACTGTTTATTTAAAATTAGCAGGTGCTTTTACCAAATTAATTAATAAACCAAAGGCAGAATGGGCATTATTAAACAGATGTTTGCTTGTAGTTCTTTGTATCCAAAACCTTCGTCCCACACATGGCACAAATTCCTAAAAGATAAAAATAGAGGGATTATCACTAGTTCAGTTAACAGCGTGAAAAGAGTGAAGGAAAAAAAAAAACCACACACACTTTACTAGTCCAATTAGTCAGTAGTCTATATGTCATTATCAAATGGACACGATAAGCCCCAAAACAACTTTAGCTTAAAGGACCACTATAGTGCCAGGAAAACATACTGGTTTTCCTGGCACTATAGTGCCCTGAGGGTGCCCCCACCCTCAGGGACCCCCTCCCGCCCGGCTCTGGAAAGGGGTAAAACGTACCTTTTTCCACCGCTGGGCGGAGAGCTCTCCTCCTCCGATCCTCCTCTTCTCCTCCCCGTCAGCTGTATGCGCACGCGCGGCAAGAGCTGTGCACGCATTCAGCCGGTCACATAGGAAAGCATTCATAATGCTTTCCTATGGACGCTGGCGTGCTCTCACTGTGAAAATCAGTGAGAAGCACGCAAGCGCCTCTAGTGGCTGTCAATGAGACAGCCACTAGAGGAAATAGGGGAAGGCTTAACCCATTCATAAACATAGCAGTTTCTCTGAAACTGCTATGCTTATGAAAAAATGGGTTAACCCTAGCTGGACCTGGCACCCAGACCACTTCATTAAGCTGAAGTGGTCTGGGTGCCTAGAGTGGTCCTTTAATGAAGCAGTTTGGGTGTATAGATCATGCCCCTGCCGTCATACTGCTAAATTCTCTGCCATTTAGGAGTTAAATCACTTTGTGTATCCCTGCATGTGGCTTGCACAGCCTTCCTAAACACCTAGATATCATAGGTTTCTGTACTGTATAGTCTGTCATTTCATATTTTATGCTCTGTTAATAGTCTCCTAAACCCTGCAAAGGACTCCTTTGTGTGATTAAAGTTCAATTTAAAGAGTAGGAGATAAAAACATCTAAAGCAAGTTAAAGTCTGATTGGAAATTAAACCAGTCACAGACAGGGGAGATGTGACAAGGGCTGCATAAACAAAAACAAAGTGATCTATCTCATAAATGGCAGATAAGTGAGCAGTAAAACTGCATGGGCCTGATCTATACACCCAAACTGCTTCATTAAACTAAAGTTGTTTTGATGCCCATTTAAAGCGGCACTGTCATGCTGAACTTACCTTTCTTTAATCGATTCCTCTTCTTTCCCTCTGTCAGGATCTTTTTTTCCCCATTTCTTCCTGTCTGCTCTAGTTTTCTTTAAAACATAAGACAAAGTAGGGACTACTTTTTCTTATGGAGGTTTCCTACGCCTGACCAGCAGAGGAGCAAAGTGTGCTTCATTTCCGGTGGTCAGAGAAATTTTCCCACAATTCTCACCTTTCCTCTGTGTCCCTGTGAAGCCTCCTTTCACTTTTCCCGAACGTCCTGTCATTTAGACATAACGCCGAATTGCGTCCTAACAGAATGAGAACAGTTTCTCCATTCGTGTTCGGATCGGAATTTCATTCGAATGTATGAAACTCCGATCCTATTGGTGCCGCGGTTGCACGGCATCTTGCAGCCGCTTAGTAGATAACTCCCTAATTCCCACGGTATTAGCAAGCTATCTACCAAAAGGCTGAAAGACCTAAATTGGTCTTTCAGCTAAATTTACTAATACTAAGTAAAGATTATACCGCAAGTAGGGGCATGTCTAGTTAACAGTGAGCAGCCAGTCAAAAATACCCGTCAAAAAAAATAAAAATAAAATTCAGACAAAAAAGAAAAAACCTGACGCTAAAAAAATAATCCATCTTCACCCACGGATGGCACGGCGCCGACTGCGCTCCGCAGGGTGAGGAAAGGCTTATAAAGTCTTTCTACTCCCTGCAATTTGGCTCAGAGCACTCTGATTGGTTGGTGTCAGAGTGCACTGACAGGTAAATGAAGAGACTGACAAGTAAGTCTCTACATTTACCTGTCAAACCACTGATTGCTCTGTGTCATTTATCCTTGAAGTTACTCTAAAAACAAAAGTCTTTGAGAATGACCCTACCATTGTTTTCTATACATTCCAACTTTTTTATGTCTGGTCAAATTTATTATAAAAGTCAATCCATCAGAGCATAGGGAAGTAGTGATGTCCCGAACGGTTCACCGCGGATGGCGAACATAAGCGGTAAACTTTGACCCTGTACCTCACAGTCAGCAGACACATTCCAGCCAATCAGCAGCAGACCCTCCCTCCCAGACAGCTCACTAAGAATGCAGCTTCACAATGAATGTAAAATGGATGCTGTCCAGGAGGTGGGAGGGCCTGGGAGGGAGGGTCTGCTGCTGATTGGCTGGAATGTGTCTGCTGACTGTGAGGTACAGGGTCAAAGTTTACCGCATATGTTCGCCATCCGCGGTGAACCGTTCGGGACATCACAAAAAAGAAAAAACAAAACACAACCTCCCCCCCAAAGATCATAAGAAAAAAAAGTAAAATGTTGTGTGTGTGTTATTACTCATCCCGGAGAAAGAATAGAGAATAGCTTGTTACCTTTCTTGTAAGCACAACCTTGGCAGTAATGGGAGCCTGCTTGATGAACTGAACTTTTACAGATACGGCATACAGCAAATCGATTTTTTCCATATGGATCAAATCTGACAATTCAAAAACAAAATTGGTGTCAGCATGTGGCAACATTCCTGCAGAGATACTTGGATAAAAACGTATTAAAAAAAGAAAAAAAATACAGAAATGCCAATCATCTTTGCTATTAAAAGGAACACTATAGTCCGGGGAAAAAAAAAAAAAAAAACGAACAAAACAACAGCAACAAAAAAAACTGTGTAGTAGGCTAGCCCCAATAAAAACATGCATGCATTAAATTATGCATTTTGTTTTTCATTGGGGGTGTTGTAGAATTATTAGGCCTCTATAAATCTGTAAGGCCCCTTTAAAATCCTCTTGCTATACCTCTAAGAGGCCCCCATAGTTTTACAAGAAAGCCTTGTCTATAGAACATAGAATTTGCATGCCAGCAAGAAATAGCTTTGATAAAATGTGTATTTACTAAAAGCCTTGAAACCTAACCTTGAGAAACTAACCGTGCCAGCTACACTCTAAATGGATGGCTGCCAAAGCACCCCTCCCATCGAGTGAACACCTCGTGCTAACAAGATGGCGCCTACATATTGTGTCCACTCCCGTGTCAAGGATGACATCACCTCTTGATAGGAGGGTACCTAACTAACCACTTAACACCTGGACCAATCAATAGTGTCTATTTGCTGTTATCTTGAATTCTTCAGTGATGTAATAATGCCTTTAAAAGGGTCTGCGCACCCATTTTCTGTCAGAAGCCATTAAACTTCTCCGAAGTTCTTTCATTACCCTGAACTTTGTGTCTCAGTGTGAATTTACTTCTGCGTGCACGCAACTTTATTATCTTTAATTTGGACAGGAACAGATAGTCATTCAAACTAATTGGTTTGCAGTAAATTATCTACGACAGGGGGTAGATCTAAAAACAGCTTTTCTCTTGTCTGCAACCTTTGCATGCTGTCCTTTCTTCCTCAGCCTAGACTTTCTGTGGATGTCTTTGCCAGGCATGTGCTCTAGGTAATTGTCTGCCTCTTGAGCATAGCTCCACTGAACTAAACAACCAGGAAGAGAGGACACAATCTTCACACATAAAGCTTTTCAGCACAAAGTACTTTAGGGCTCCAGAGTGTCCCTTTAAAAAACAAAAACTAAGATTCATTGCCATACACTTAAACCCTTCAGTGCCACTGGCTGAATATAAGTGAATATATTGCCACCCCAATAGTGATTTTGCAAACACTATTATAAAGTAAATGTTTGCAGCGATGTGGTTTCTCACATCAAAAATGTTGGACAACAATCATGTGAGTGCTGAACCAAGGAATAACCAAAGTTATGAAATGCACATCAGATGTTACCAGTTTGGTATGTATTAAGCACATGTTGTATAAATGCCATACGTTCCTTTTGCTACACTTTGGGAATGCATATTCAAATAAAGCGCTACGGAATCTGTTGGCGCTATATAAATGGTGATAATAATATTAATAAATAGAAAAAGTAATCCATATGACATGTTGAAACAATAGACAACTAATGTAATATACAACGAACAGATCCCTGTTAATGATATAATAATACACCTATTATTGACAATAAAAAAAAAAACACGAGTACTAGACGTGTGCTTACTTTAAAAACAAACAAACAAACAAAAAAATAAACAGCTATGAAAATCAACCTGTTATTTTTAATCTCATGGAATTACATGAAATTACTGGCAACATTGTAACAAAATGATGAATGTCAATTAACTACAATATATAACATTTGTTGACACATTGTAGCTGTGCACTTGTTGATTCCACACTGTAAAAGTGAAAACGATCTAAATTTAGCCATATTACATGGTAGTATCAAATCTGTGGTGGTACTTTCTGCTGTACAGAAAACAAACCTTATCTGCTAATATTTTTTTTTCCCATTTAAACAATCTACTTACCTGGCTCTTTTGGAAGTCAAAGCTTTATTTTCATTAAGTTTTCGACCTCCACTTTCTAAAGTAAATAGAGAAAATATACAGATATAACAATAATTACCCATTTTCAGCCTTTAATATTTTTAGAAGGGGAACAATTGAAATAAATAGATAAAAATGGAGGAATATTAATATACACAAATAATTCTACTAGTTTATATCACTAAAATCTACACAGGAAACATTCGATATTGTAAGTAATATCCAGATTTAGGAAATCGCTTAATCAGAACAAATATAAAATAGGTAATTTTTTTTTTTAAATCTGTGTTTACAAGTTTTGAGGTGCATACAAAATTACAGGAACGCATATAGATTCATTCTGCGAGACAGACCAAGTAAGTATCCTTAGGCAAGACACCTACCTCAAATACACACAGATTATAAACTTGTTTTTACAGTGCTTTTTTCACCCCAAACATCCCCTTTCTATAATTAAAAGAAATGCTGCTGAATAAGCTGGCCATCGACAAATACTAATAATAACAACAACAACACTATGTTAATGTGTGTATTTCAATATTAGGAACATGTGGCTGTGTTTTGTGGAGCTGCAACCAGCAGGGTATGGTTCAAACACCACCATCTGGAAAGTGCCTATGAAGGGGGCACAGATATAATGGAATGGCCCACAGAGTGCTGGATGAAGGGTTAAGGACTTTTAAGGGTTAAGGAGGTTTTTAATAGGCAAGGACACAGCCATAGTGCATGCATGATGCTTGGAATCACTGTGATGCATAGGGGACATGGGTGGCACAACCTGGTGTCATTATATAATGTGGGGGTTTGTTGGTGCCACTCAAACTCATAAAGCCATCTCTAGATATTTTGTACATGGACCTGACTCGATTTCACGGGAAATTTTATATGCTGAAAACATCATATTTCAAATATGCCTTGCTGACGTCAATTGTACCTTTATTTACTCTGACATACTATATATTTACCAGTTGTATTCCTTGCACCAGTTTTCCATGTATCTGGAGTGATAACAGTGCCCAGCTTCTTCTCACCTGCCATAAATAGAAGAATAAATAAATGTGTTGTTTTTCCCCCCCATTTTTTCATACCAAGTTACAGGATGCACTCTACAAAACAACATTTTTCTTAAATATGGAAAGCACAACATTTAACAACCTCAAAGAACAGAAAACTTGTGTTTTGAACAAACTATAATCCATTTGGTAAAAGTGTATTTTAGCGTATTTTATTAGTTACCTTTTCGTTCACATGGATTACAGTGTATTTTTTTTTGCATTGCTATTATGGTGCGCACCCATTGCAGAGTACCCTCACTGGCCCAGACAGCACCCATTGCAGAGCACCCTCACCGGCCCAGACAGCATCCATTGCAGAGCATCCTCACTGGCCCAGACAGCATCCATTGCAGAGCACCCTCACTGGCCCAGACAGCGCCCTCACCCTATTGCAGAGCTACCTTGCTGGCACAGACAGCACCCATTGCAGAGCAACCTCACTGGCCCAGACAGCACCCATTGCAGAGCAACCTCACTGGCACAGACAGCACCCATTGCAGAGCAACCTCAATGGCCCAGACAGCACCCATTGCAGAGCAACCTCACTGGCACAGACAACACCCTCATTAGCACAGACAAAACCTAGTGCAGGGCACCCTGATGGGCACAGACATATCCCAGTGCAAGGTATTCCTGTGCACAGACATTGCAGGGGCACCCTCTTTGGCACAGACAGTACTTGGTGCAGGAGAGCACCCAATAAAGGGTATTGCTTGGCAGAGCAGCATTCATTACAGAGCACCTAATGCAAGGTATTCCTTTGAACACACAGCATTCAGTGAACTAGGCACATACAGCACCCAATGCAGGGCTCCCCAATGGATACACAGCACCCACGGAGGTCTGGAGCTCTTGCCCATTATCCTAGACACAATGTTTTTACTTTAATAATGACTGGTAATAAAATAAGCTATTTGCTTTTAGAAAATTAAAAAGTAAGATACGCTAAAGTACACTTTTATCCTTCATTGGATATACATAGCTAGACACAATCCCTGTCTGTATTATCATCACCTTTTAAAAATAAAAGTGCCAACATATGAGGTAACACTGTACAATGACTAGACAAGACTTACAGTTAACTATAACAATCTTACAGTGCTAATTCTAATTCTGTATGTTAAATAGAGTTGTTAGCATTTTTTTTAAAATTAGAATTAAACGTGTGCCAGTGAGGTAGCTCTGCAATGGGGTGAGGGTGCTCTGCAATGGGTGCTGTCTGGGCCAGTGAGGGTGCTCTGCAATGGGTGCTGGCTACACCGATTAGGCAGCTCTGCAATGGGTACACACCACAATAGCAATGAAAAAAAAACAACCGCTATAATACACGTGAATGAAACGGTATAATAAAATACGCTAAAATACACTTTACCTTGTATTATCACCACCCTGTAAAAATAAAAGCATATGAGGTAACACTGTACAATGACTGGACAAGACTTACAGTTAACTATAACAAGCAATAACAAGCTTACAGTGCTAATTCTAATTATGTATGTTAAATAGAATTGTCAGCATTTTTTAAATTAGAATTAAATGTAGTGTTTTTTTTTAGTTTATTTAGCTACAAGCCTAATGCTGTGACTGATAGTGTTTCCCTGCATAAAGACTGTTACAAGTAATGTAATATCTGTATCCACGATTAGTGAAATAATGAATTTTAACATTCCCCGCAGACCATATATATTAATATATTAATACTGTCTTACATTAGTCTCAGATTATAGTATAAATAATAATACAATTTATATATTAATATTGTCTTACATTACTCTCAGATTATAGTATAAAGAATAACACAGTGTATATAATAACACCTTAAGGACACAACTTCTGGAATAAAAGGGAATCATGACGGAATATTTCCGTCATGTGTCATTAAGGGGTTAATATTATTTTACATTAGTCTCAGATTATAGTATAAATAATAATACAGTTTATATATTATCTTAAATTGGTCTCAGATAATATAAATAATAACAGTGTATATATTATTATCTTTCATTAGTCTCAGATTATACTATAATATAATAACACAGTGTATATATTAATATTGTCTTACATTAGTCTCAGATTATGGTATAATATAATAACACAGTGTTTATATTAATATCTTACATTAGTCTCAGATTATAGTATAATATAATAATACACTGTATATATTAATATTATTTTACATTAGTCTCAGATTATAGTATAATATAATAACACAGTGTATATATTAATATTGTCCTACATTAGTCTCAGATTATAGTATAATATAATAATACAGTGTATATATTAATATTATCTTACATTAGTCTCAGATTATAGTATAATATAATAACACAGTGTATATATTAATATTGTCCTACATTAGTCTCAGATTATAGTATAATATAATAATACAGTGTATATATTAATACGGTTTTACATTAGTCTCAGATTATAGTATAATATAATAATACAGTGTATATATTAATATTATTTTACATTAGTCTCAGATTATAGTATAATATAATAATACAGTGTATATATTAATATTATTTTACATTAGTCTCAGATTATAGTATAATATAACACAGTGTATATATTAATATTATTTTACATTAGTCTCAGATTATAGTATAATATAATAACACAGTGTATATATTAATATTGTCCTACATTAGCCACAGATTATAGTATAATATAATAATAGAGTGTATATATTAATATTGTTTTACATTAATCTCAGATTATAGTATAATATAATAACAGTGTATATATTAATATTTTCTTACATTAGTCTCAGATTATAGTATAATATAATAACACAGTGTATATATTAATATTGTCCTACATTAGCCTCAGATTATAGTATAATATAATAATACAGTGTATATATTAATACTGTTTTACATTAGTCTCAGATTATAGTATAATATAATAATACAGTGTATATATTAATATTATTTTACATTAGTCTCAGATTATAGTATAATATAATAACACAGTGTATATGTTAATACTGTTTTACATTAGTCTCAGATTATAGTATAATATAATAATACAGTGTATATATTAATATTGTCCTACATTAGCCACAGATTATAGTATAATATAATAATACAGTGTATATATTAATATTGTTTTACATTAGTCTCAGATTATAGTATAATATAGTGTATATATTAATATTGTTTTACATTAGTCTCAGATTATAGTATAATATAATAATACAGTGTATATATTAATATTATTTTACATTAGTCTCAGATTATGGTATAATATAATAATACAGTGTATATATTAATATTATTTTACATTAGTCTCAGATTATAGTATAATATAATAATACAGTGTATATATTAATATTATCTTACATTAGTCTCAGATTATAGTATAATATAATAATACAGTGTATATATTAATATTGTCCTACATTAGCCACAGATTATAGTATAATATAATACAGTGTATATATTAATATTGTTTTACATTAGTCTCAGATTATAGTATAATATAGTGTATATATTAATATTGTTTTACATTAGTCTCAGATTATAGTATAATATAATACAGTGTATATATTAATATTATCTTACATTAGTCTCAGATTATGGTATAATATAATACATTAGTCTCAGATTATAGTATAATATAATAACACAGTGTATATATTAATATTGTTTTACATTAGTCTCAGATTATAGTATAATATAATAACACAGTGTATATATTAATATTGTTTTACATTAGTCTCAGATTATAGTATAATATAATAACACAGTGTATATATTAATATTATTTTACATTGGTCTCAGATTATAGTATAATATAATAACACAGTGTATATATTAATACTGTCTTACATTAGTCTCAGATTATAGTATAATATAATACAGTGTATATATTAATATTGTCCTACATTAGCCACAGATTATAGTATAATATAATAATACAGTGTATATATTAATATTGTTTTACATTAGTCTCAGATTATAGTATAATATAGTGTATATATTAATATTGTTTTACATTAGTCTCAGATTATGGTATAATATAATAATACAGTGTATATATTAATATTATCTTACATTAGTCTCAGATTATAGTATAATATAATAATACAGTGTATATATTAATATTATTTTACATTAGTCTCAGATTATGGTATAATATAATAATACAGTGTATATATTAATATTGTTTTACATTAGTCTCAGATTATAGTATAATATAATAACACAGTGTATATATTAATATTATTTTACATTAGTCTCAGATTATAGTATAATATAATAACAGTGTATATATTAATATCTTACATTAGTCTCAGATTATAGTATAATATAATAACAGTGTATATATTAATATTGTTTTACATTAGTCTCAGATTATAGTATAATATAATAATACAGTGTATATATTAATATTTTCTTACATTAGCCACAGATTATAGTATAATATAATAATACAGTGTATATATTAATATTATTTTACATTAGTCTCAGATTATAGTATAATATAACAATACAGTGTATATATTAATATTATTTTACATTAGTCTCAGATTATAGTATAATATAATAACACAGTGTATATATTAATATCTTACATTAGTCTCAGATTATAGTATAATATAATAATACAGTGTATATATTAATATTATTTTACATTAGTCTCAGATTATAGTATAATATAACAATACAGTGTATATGTTATTATTGTCTTACATTTGTCGCACACCATGTTTGCCCAGGAAGTGATCCTCTCACAATACCGGAAGTCCAACTTGTCAACAAGCAGCAGCCTCTTCCGGTAAACATTGGCGTCACTTCTAGCGACCTCAGTTAACCAATCACAGCTGGTTTTGTGTCCCGGCCGTCCTGAGAGACGCTGATTGGCTGCTGGGACTGCCACTCACGCACAGCGTGCTGAGCAGACCTTGGAGACAGGTAGCGGAGGGGGCGGGGTTAGCGGCCAGTGATGGGAGTGTAAGAAGCGGGCTGCACGCAGGTGAGTTGGGTTAGCCAGCTCGGGCTCAGTGAGTGTCAGTGGCTGACTGGCTATTGTGATCGTTATTATTATTATTCCCTGAATCATCATTCAGGTCTCAGGAGAGAGGGAGGATCAGTAAGGGTTAAACTGCTCTGTATGACTTCCGGGTTACCATGTGACCTGCATGGGCTCACTGTCAGGGTCACACAGCCCACTATCACCCCACGGGCTCACTGTCAGGGTCACACAGCCCACTATCACCCCACGGACTCACTGTCAGGGTCACACAGCCCACTATCACCCCACGGACTCACTGTCAGGCTCACACAGCCCGCTATCACCCCACGGGCTCACTGTCAGGCTCACACAGCCCACCATCACCCCACGGGCTCACTGTCAGGGTCACACAGCCCACTATCACCCCACGGGCTCACTGTCAGGCTCACACAGCCCACCATCACCCCACGGGCTCACTGTCAGGCTCACACAGCCCACCATCACCCCATCACCCCACGGGCTCACTGTCAGGGTCACACAGCCCACTATCACCCCACGGGCTCACTGTCAGGCTCACACAGCCCACCATCACCCCACGGGCCCACTGTCAGGCTCACACAGCCCACTATCACCCCATCACCCCACGGGCTCACTGTCAGGGTCACACAGCCCGCCATCACCTGGGCTCACTGTCAGGGTCACATAGCCCACTATCACCCCACGGGCTCACTGTCAGGGTCACACAGCCCGCTATCACCCCACGGGCTCACTGTCAGGGTCACACAGCCCACTATCACCCCACGGGCTCGCTGTCAGGGTCACAAAGCCCACTATCACCCCACGGGCTCGCTGTCAGGGTCACATAGCCCACTATCACCCCACGGGCTCACTGTCAGGGTCACACAGCCCGCTATCACCCCACGGGCTCACTGTCAGGGTCACACAGCCCACTATCACCCCACGGGCTCGCTGTCAGGGTCACACAGCCCACTATCACCCCACGGGCTCGCTGTCAGGGTCACACAGCCCACTATCATCCCACGGGCTCACTGTCAGGGTCACACAGCCCGCTATCACCCCACGGGCTCACTGTCACCCCACAGGCTCACTGTCAGGGTCACACAGCCCACTGTCACCCCACGGGCTCACTGTCACCCCACAGGCTCACTGTCAGGGTCACACAGCCCACTGTCACCCCACGGGCTCACTGTCAGGGTCACACAGCCCACTATCACCCCACGGGCTCACTGTCAGGGTCATACAGCCCACTATCACCCCACGGGCTCGCTGTCAGGGTCACACAGCCCACTATCACCCCACGGGCTCACTGTCACCCCACAGGCTCACTGTCAGGGTCACACAGCCCACTATCACCCCACGGGCTCACTGTCAGGGTCATACAGCCCACTATCACCCCACGGGCTCACTGTCACCCCACGGGCTCGCTGTCAGGGTCACACAGCCCACTATCACCCCACGGGCTCACTGTCACCCCACAGGCTCACTGTCAGGGTCACATAGCCCACTATCACCCCACGGGCTCACTGTCAGGGTCACACAGCCCGCTATCACCCCACGGGCTCACTGTCAGGGTCACACAGCCCACTATCACCCCACGGGCTCGCTGTCAGGGTCACAAAGCCCACTATCACCCCACGGGCTCGCTGTCAGGGTCACACAGCCCGCTATCACCCCACGGGCTCGCTGTCAGGGTCACACAGCCCGCTGTCACCCCACGGGCTCGCTGTCAGGGTCACACAGCCCACTATCACCCCACGGGCTCGCTGTCAGGGTCACACAGCCCACCATCACCCCACGAGCTCACTGTCACCCCACGGGCTCACTGTCAGGGTCACACAGCCCGCTATCACCCCACGGGCTCACTGTCAGGGTCACACAGCCCACCATCACCCCACGGGCTCGCTGTCAGGGTCACACAGCCTACTATCACCTCCCACGGGCTCGCTGTCAGTCACACAGCTCGCTATCACCCTATACGGGCTCGCTGTCAGGGTCACACAGCCCGCTGTCACTCCCATGGGCTCGCTGTCACCCCACGGGCTCGCTGTCAGGGTCACACAGCCCGCTATCACCCCACGGGCTCGCTGTCACCCCACGGGCTCGCTGTCAGGGTCACACAGCCCGCTATCATCCCACGGGCTCACTGTCAGGGTCGCACAGCCCGCTATCACCCCACGGGCTCACTGTCAGGGTCACACAGCCCACTATCACCCCACGGGCTCACTGTCAGGATCATACAGCCCACTATCACCCCATGGGCTCACTGTCAGGGTCATACAGCCCACTATCACCCCATGGGCTTACTGTCAGGGTCATATGGCCCAATATTACCCCATGGGGTCAGGGTCACAGTGTTACCACAGCTATGGATAGCCTGTTCTTGAGCCCTCCAGTTTTGAAAACTTGTTTCCGCTGATACTCCGCCATCATGGGAATCATAGAGCAATGTTACAGTTTCTCATGTCTAGAAAGGGGTCACTGGCAGCTCCTCTGGATATTAAATTCTGCAAATGTAAAGGGTCTCACATGTACACTGATTACTGAGAGCAGTGTCAGAGTCATAAAACTAGTAGAAAATAACCTAACTTGCACACCCCATGAAGGAAATGTTGGGGAAAGAGCCCTTTGACGTCAGAGGCAAATGGTGGCAGCCCTAAAGCAGCAGCAAATTGTGCAGATCATTGCACTTCCAACAAGTGGAACCATCAACTATTGCCTAGCAATAAATACTAGAGATTAAAAAAAAAGAACTGTCCAGCACACCTTATTGTGAAAAAATGATATCCCTTTATTGGAAAAACAGCATTGTGTCGACTGTGTGTTTTTATGAAGCCATTCCTTGACTAGGACACACGGAGCCAGAGTCATTGCACCATTTCATGTTAACATTAATAATAGTAATACATATTTGAAAGTAAAGGGTTGCTGACGTGTTCCTTAGCCATACATGGCAGGTGTGGGTTGACAAGTCGTGGGCCCTGCTACCCTCTCCCATACCCTCTGCAAAGGGATAAATATGATAAAATATAGGGACCGACAGAAAGCAGCCTTTGGCATTGCAGGTTCTGAAGCTCTGGTGCAAACACTTGCAAGTCTTTTCACATCAGCACACTATAGTTGCAGATAGCCGAGAAATTAATTGCCGGCTCTCCAATTACTACAGCTTTAAAGTAGAGCTCCTCTTCAATGCTCCATTTTAGCAGTATGACAAATTATGGATTTGGTACCCTGACACCATAACCACTTCAATAAGCTAAAGTGGTTATTCTGCTTTGAGTTTCCCTCTGCCTTTTAAATCAGGGGTCATGTTATAAAAGTGTCCTCTGCATGTGCTGCTACCCTGTTTATTCTCTGAGATAAAGTAGGATTGGTTTAAGGCTGGACTAATAGCAAAGGACTAGACAATCTTAGCCCTACATTAATCATAGTCAATTATGTTTGTGTGTGGTGCATTAAAGCCTATGGGTACTTTAGACTGAAAATGTGCTATAGTTCTAATTAATTAATAAATAGATTTAGGTCTATTTACTTAACTGGAAATTTATTAAGAATTGGTAGGGAATTTTAGCATAATGTTTTTTCCCATCTCTGCCACTTTGACATAAAGGAACACTATAGTCACCTAAATTACTTTAGCTAAATAAAGCAGTTTTAGTGTATAGATCATTCCCCTGCAATTTCACTGCTCAATTCACTGTCATTTAGGAGTTAAATCACTTTGTTTCTGTTTATGCAGCCCTAGCCACACCTCCCCTGGCTATGATTGACAGAGCCTGCATGAAAAAAAAACTGGTTTCACTTTCAAACAGATGTAATTTACCTTAAATAATTGTATCTCAATCTCTAAATTGAACTTTAATCACATAAAGGAGGCTCTTGCAGGGTCTAGCAAGCTATTAACATAGCAGGGGATAAGAAAATCTTAATTAAACAGAACTTGCAATAAAGAAAGCATAAATAGGGCTCTCTTTACAGGAAGTGTTTATGGAAGGCTGTGCAAGTCACATGCAGGGAGGTGTGACTAGGGCTCATAAACAAAGGGATTTAACTCCTAAATGGCAGAGGATTGAGCAGTAAAGCTGCAGGGGCATGTTCTATACACCAAAACGGCTTCATTAAGCTAAAGTTGTTCATGTGACTATAGTGTCCCTTTAAATTTGAAATTCCCTTGTCAGTTCTCTGCTGTTCCTGGTATAGTGCACATAAGTGATAATGTTATTTGAAGTGTTCATTAAAGGACCACTATAGGCACCCAGACCACTTCAGCTTAACAAAGTGGTCTGGGTGCCAGGTCCATCTAGGATTAACCCTTTCTGCCGTAAACATAGAAGTTTCAGAGAAACTGCTATGTTTACCTACTGGTTAATCCAGCCTCTAGTGGCTGTCTCATTGACAGCCGCTAGAGGCTTTTCTGCGCTTCTCACTGTGATTTTCACAGTGAGAAGATGCCAGCGTCCATAGGAAAGCATTGAGAATGCTTTCCTGTGGACTGGCTGAATGCGTGCGTGGCTTTTGCTGCGCATGCGCATTCAGCCGATGTCGGGGAAAGGAGGCGGAGAGTCCCCACCGCTGAGGGAGCCTGGCACTGGAGAAAAGGTATGTGTTTAACCCCTTCCTCACCCTAGAGCCTGGCGGGAGTGGGACCCTAAGGGTGGGGGGGACCTAGAGACCCTATAGTGCCAGGAAAACGAGTATGTTTTCCTGGCACTATTGTGGTCCTTTAAATTTCCTTAAAATTCCAACACAGTCCACATGAGTATTTCATAAAGTGCCACTTGTTCATATAGTCCATTGTTCTGTGTAATTAACTGTGAATTGCAAGTTTAAAATAGTACTAATCGTATGGATGCTGTGAATAGCATGAATTATAATTATATGCTGATTGATGAGATTTATTTATTTTCAGATGTAAACTGAAATTAATGGACACATGACAGTCTTAACAGAAATTATTATTAACTGGTAAAGTAAGTGCTACCAAATTGTTCCATGCATCCCTATAGAACATTTATAGATGGTTATACATTTAGTTTCTGAATGAGACTTCGGCATGATACTTGATACATTACGTAGGAGTTTTTACACTAGGCCAGTGTAGCTGAGATGGAAAAATGACTGTCATTTTTTCGGTTTAGCTATATTATCCTAAATGTCCAACTGCCTTGTCAGTTCTGCACAATTACCAGTTTAGATAATACAACTGTGTGTGTTACACGTTACAAGAGAAATCCTATGGCTATGGAATTAAAGGGTTACTATAGGCACCAGAACAACTTTAGCTTAATGACGCTGTTTTGCTGTATAGATCATGCCCCTGCAGTCTCACTGCTCAATTCTTGGCCATTTAGGAGTTAAATCACTTTGTTTATACAACCCTAGACACCCCTCCCTGCATGTGACTTGCACAGCCTTCCTAAACTCTTCCTGTAAAGATTCAGCTTAAAGTTAGTTACATCAGCTTGAAAATGAAACTATTTTGTTTTCATTCAGGTTGTGCCAATCACAGCCAGGGGAGGTATGACTACGGCTGAATAAGCAGGAACAAAAGTGATTTAACTCTTAAATGGCAGTGAATTGAGCAGTAAAACTAAAGAGGTATAATCTATATACCCAAACTGCTTCATTAAGCTAAAGTTGTTTTGGTGACTATAGTATCCCTTTAAGGGCTAGATTTCATATTTTTGTATTAGCTTTTCAAATAATTTAAAGGAGCACTATAGTGCCAGGAAAACAAATTTGTTTTCCTGGCACTATAGGGTCTTTGGGTCCCCCACTCCCGATGGGCTGAAGGGGTTAAATTCTTACCTTTCTCCAGCGCCGGGCACTGGTGAACTCTCCTCCCTCTTCCAAGGGGTAATTGAGCTATGCTGGAGGTCCTCACACAGGAAGTGCCCTCTAATGGCTGTCTAGTTGACAGCCACTAGAGAAGGAGTTAACCCTACAAGGTAATTATTGCAGTTTATAAAAACTGCAATAATTACACTTGCAGGGTTAAGGGTAGTGGGAGTTGGCACCCAGACCACTCCAACGGGCAGAAGTGATCTGGGTGCCTGGAGAGTCCCTTTAAGGCCTATATTCCTCAAGCACTTATGTGGCCTAGTCTGTAAATTTCATTGTACTGTTACTTGGGGCAGTATTTTTCTTGTGCAGTCCATTACTATGTCTACGTGATGTGGGTCAGGTAACCCTAGCTGAGGACAGCCTGCGTACTTGAGTATAGATCTGATGCAAAGGGAAGGTGTCAGAAATCTTCAGCTTAGCACGGATGAGTAAGTGCGTGGTTCTGACGTTTTGGTAGATTCATTAATGCTCAAATGTCTATATCACTTAAACTGATCTGTTATTGACACCCGAGATCTGGTACATTTATGGTACTAAGTTTATGTTTTTAAATAGCTGGGGAAACCCAGGTAAGAGATGTTTGTATCTGCAATGCTCTGTTGGTGCCTGGTTGTTATTTTAATCGGGCAAGTGGAGAAAATGAATGCCTAGTACAGGGCTGTATTGGGCCGCAAGGCTACAGTCTGCAGTCTTCCCTAAATACGGTACTGCCTGATGTATGAAAGGTACAATGTTTGCTGATACCTTACATTTTAGAATCTTCATACAGATTTGTATGGATTTTACATTTCTTACGCCAAAGGTTACCTTAAAGAATTTTCAATTAATAAAGTCACAAAAAATGTCCTTTGTCTTATTGAAGTACATAGGAATCTACGGGTTAGATAGGTGGACTGAGCGGAGGACTAAGGGGATTTTAGATATAGTACACCAATCAAACAGCCTGGGAGTTTAGTTTTGCTTCCGTTAGGTTTACTGAGCTAAGAGAAGCAACAGGCACCCTTGACTAGAGCAACCTGCTAACACAATTGGTCAGTCCATCGGCACAGACTGAAATTATGTGCTGGGGAAAGAGGGGACAGCTTGTTGTAACTGCAGATACTATATCTACAGCTATTTCAAGATGATTTTTCATATGCCCTCATCAAAATGTGCAAAAGAAAACACATGCATATTTTACTTTGGGGGTATAGCTACAAAATTTGCCAAAAAATTGTTTTCTTTAAAATTAGTCCAGTTCATTATTCAGACCTCCCCAGGAGGTACGTTTCTTTTAAAGACCAGTTTTTTTTTTAATCGTGAGTTACTGATTGGCTGAGAGCGTCAGCCGACCATTCAGCAATTCAGCGGCGCCAATGCCCGATTATGCAAGAGCCTTCTGGTTTCCCGATTTTGAGAAAATGGAAGGACAGGGAGATTCGGTGCTGGAACACAGACTTTAGAGTTAAACCAGATGAGAACGGTAAGCCAGTGCCAGGGACATCCTTGTACCATAGCAACTTAATTTTAATGAAGTTGTTATGGTGCCCTGCATGTTCTTTTAATGTTTTACCATACATTACCTTGTTGTTCATCTACATGTGAATCTTGCAAACTTTGTCTGCCACATATTAAGGTTATTCGGTGCTTCTAAGAAGTAGTTTTAGAATGTAAGCTTGTTCGGGCCGGGCTGTCTTCACCTTCTGGTTCTCATATGCCAAACATGTTTTGTTAGAAATAAATGCTTTTCTTGTTTATTAGTGTACAACGCCTCAGAATATGTTGGTGCTTTATGAATAATTGTAATTGTAGACATTCTAGGAAGGGTTTCTATGCACAAAACCAGTATGATAAAACCACAGGAGGAGAAAATGCAACATTAAAATAACCATATCATGCTAGATTCACCCTTAAAAGCTGTATCAATTGAATTGGAGTTCAGAAATGGTGTCAGTTTTTAATCAAAACCTTACCCCTGTCTGTAATTCCATATATTTAGTCTAATCCTTAACCCTTTACCTCAACCATAAACCAAAAGCACTGATTCATTTAATAAAATAGGTTGCTTACACATAATGAGTCAGATTATATATTCTACCCATTTTGTTTTCTGCCTTATTTGCATTCGACCATTTAAAGATCACATTTACTTATAGCAATGAAATAAAGAAAAAAGACTAATCATCGCCTGACTACATCTGCTTCTTTTTCCTTTAGGATCTTTTACACTCTATCATGGACGAAACAGAGCTACGGAGGATGTCAGTGGGCCACGGTTTCGGTGTACTGGCTGTGGTTTTGTCTCTATGCATTCCACCCCTGTTCCTAGATGACTTTTCGCTTTTAGGAACACATGTGATGTGGCTTTGTGTCTGCTCTGCTTTTGTCATCGCTGTCAACATAATCCTACTTCTGACATTAAAGCCAAACCCTTCATATAAAAGAACTTCATTTGGAAGTAAAGTAAGCACTTATTGCCACGTACAACCAATGCAATATTTGTTAGCTGTAGGTAGCCAGCACAAAATAATTACCTATAGGAACACTATAGCATTAGGAATACAAAACTATATTCCTAATGCTCTAGTGTTGCTCTGCCCTAAACTGTAGCCCTAATGCTCTAATGTCTCTCTGTGCACCCTCCCCGCCAAGTAAAGGATAAAAAAATCCTTTAAACACTTACCTGATTCCAGCGCCGAGGACTTCAGGAGCTGGCACCTTCTTGGCCTCCTCCAATGCCAGTAATGGAGGGGATCTATTGCTCAAACGGGCATCTTGCGCATTAGGCTTTCCACATAGGAAAGCATTAATTTGAAGATGCTGGGCATCCTCATGCAAAGCTTGATTACATCCAGTGTCCTTTCACGGAGCAGAAAGTGCCTCCAGTGGTTGTCTGGTAGTTTCTCTGAAACAGCAATGTTTTAATTGCAGGGCTAAGAGGACAGGAACACTGCAACCAGAGCAGTTCAATGAGACAAAGTGGTCTGGGTGCCTGTAGTGTCTCTTCATTTTAGGTAAAATGTATCATAATATCACATATATGTGCATACGTGCGTTAGAAGATGTGGAAATGGTGTGTAATGCTTCAAGATAACTCATGGATTATTAAGGAGAACTTATTGGTAATTATGACGCTCTCAGCCGGCTATCGGCGAATGATGCTTATCACAGCTTTCCTTCTCTGCTCAATATGGCTGCGGAGAAGAGAAAAATCAATGCAGATTGGTGCAATTAGTATGATGGCACTCAAGGACTCGAGCCTTCAAAACAACTTGATTGAGATGAAGTTATTTTTCAGGTTAAAAGTCCCTTTAAATTCTATTTTTTTTTTTTTTGTACTGATTTTGTTGGGTATGACTGCGTGTTCCCACAAACTCCTGGTTCAGTCACAGTCCAGGATCGTGAATTATAAAATATTGAAGTGTGCAAAATTATATTCTTGAAAAATGTTAGCCACCCAAGCCCTGGAATTAACTATTAAACCTATGAAAAAACTTAGCCCGCTTCAGTGTAAGAAAGACTAGGAAATACAGTTTAAATAAAGAGTTGTAGCTACATATGGAATTGCCTCTTGACAGACTATATAGTGAATCTCAAGAAAGCCTGGGTAAGGTGCTTTACTGTCTTAAACATGAAATCCTATTTTGAGTAGGAAAAGGGGGGGTCTCGTTCGGCCAGTTGACTTGCATACGTAGTCAAACCTTGTGTTCCTATGAGCAAATTCAGTGTAAATTTTGTAGCTTGGTTTTCATTTTACCACATGTTATCCATGTATTGAGGTGTAGAAGTTATATTTAGTTTTTCATCAATAAAATAAAATTCAGTTTTTACCCTGCCTGAAATTTCACCTGTGAACCTGCAGTTTGACTAGATGTTATAAATCATGTTTGTTTTTAGTACCGCCATTAATTAGGTACAATGTTTATTTGTGTGCTGTATCTTTAATTCTATGGACTTTTTTGTTTTGTTTTGTTTTTTTAGGTAAATAAATTTTCAAAATCCTGCATATACTTTTTCATTTCATGTTTGGTGTTTCATGCGGTCGTATTTTTGTATGGTGCCCCTCTTTTAGAGTAAGTATTCAAGCAAACTGTGTCTTTATATTTGTATAATGCAATGCTTTGTCCTTGATTAATTTTCATGGTGGTTTCTGGGTCATTAATGTAACATTTGTTTTATTTTTTCTTAAATACGTATAGTTCTATTTTTTTTTTTATATATCTCTGCAACATACATTATTCTTTTGATAACACACTGTGAAATCTTATACATCTACCTTTTTAAAGTCATGTGTCATACAGTTAGATTCTGCATGTTTTTTACTTAACATAACAGTTTATACTAAATAGAGTACGAAAAGATAAAAACCAAAAACGAACACTACTAACGTTCAGTTGGTCAACTTGTGCATACAAATGTGACAGCTATGCTTTAAAGGGAGACTCTGGAAATCTCTGGGAAAACTTCCCCCTAGTTTAAATACATTATATAAATAATATAAATAATGTATTACAAAAATAAAAATATACTCGTGTCTTAATGTTCCCTGCAGACGCATTTTTTCATTGTATGCGTGGGGCTACCGATTATACTGCCTTTCCTCTATTTTGCACATACCCTGGTTTACTAATACTTAGAGCCACAGTCGGCTCTGTGTCTCTACGGGAGCTGAGAGATAGATCAGTCCAAACTGTACATAGAGTGTACACGTGCACAGCTTAGACAAAATCGAAATTGAACAGCTGGAAGTGAGCTTATTGACAGCCCCGACAGACTGACTCTGTAATAACATTTATTTTTATTTTTTTACAAATGTATCTGCACTATCAACTTTGCAATAATGCAAATCTGTGATGGTGCTTAGACCGACTGTTTTTAGGTATGCAAGAGAGAGTATTCACCTGTGGTTTATTAAAGGGTACCTGTGGTGACATAACACTGTCCATTAAAGTTGAATTTTCGCAAACCAGCTCTTAAATCCTCAGCCAATTTAAGAGTCCTCAGCAAGCTGACTGATAGCGTTTAGTTAAAGTGGGAGGAGGTTTATACAGCCTGACACACACACATTGTACATCATAACTCTGGACACATGTTCCCATGCTGCTGGTACGGGCGCAGTCATCATCGTTAGAATGCTGAGCATCATGCATCCACGGCATTACAAAGGAAAATGCCCAGACTCATAAATCATGTGATAACATAAAAAGATGGCATGTATTTTGAGCCAATATTGCATTCTTCGGGTTCTTGATTCATCCATAAATCACAAAACAATATACCATGTCTCTAGACCATCATGATCGTATTTTCTTCCCATAATGTATGCTTCATTGCTCTATATAATACAATGTACTACAGTTTAGATCAGAAGGATTTATGTGTTACAAATCACACTCATCTTGTGATGCTCTTAGCCAATCAAAAATGTGCAAAGTTTTTAAACCAGAAGCACCAAGAGGTCCTGACAGAGCCAGGTAAGTGTCAGACAATTTGTACACAGTATGACGGCTTACTTTGGTAGGATCCAGGAGCTTTCTTGCACCATAACCTCGATATCTCACTGCAGTGGTTATGGCACATTTATTGTCCTTTTTTCCCAACTTATCGTTTTATAAATTAATATATTTTTTTATTTTCTTCACAGGTCAGTGCCAGAGACCTTTATGTTTTCTGTTCTCCTGTCTTCTTTCATAACATCACGTTGTCTTTTTATACTTGGTCCAAACTTTCATGCATGGGTTCGTGTCTTCAGTAGAGATGGGTATGTCTTACCAGTTTTATTTTTTCCCCCACTCTATGTAGAGTATAAAATGCGATTGGATGTCCCATTATAGCCCAGTATTATACTAGTGTACAAAACTATATAGTATGCTATATGTCTACTGCCAAAGGTCAAAATAAATGTGAAATTCACTTTGAATTATCTAAATTCACATTTTGTTAAATAACCCAGCTGGTGTGAAATCTTTTATTAATGAGAGTTAAGGAAAACTCACCAGCTCTGCAGTTTATATCTGAAATGTATTTATTGTATGGGGCTGGAGGAAACATTTATTGACCAATATCCATAACTGTTTTACTTTGGACCTTTGCAGGGCAATGTGTGTCTGGGATCACAGTCTGCAAATCACAACCCTAGGTAGTGTATTGGGCGCCTGGTTTGGAGCATTCCCTATACCATTGGACTGGGAGAGACCATGGCAGGTTAGTTACCTTTTACAAGGTGCTGGAAAATTTTTGCTTATTTAACATTTTTGCCATTGAAAAGAACACCACAGACCAAGGGCACCAAGCACAACATAACGCGTGATAGGTTTTAGTCTCATGGCTATGATGTGGTTCTCTACGCTCAGATCTAAAAAATAATGTTTTGCAGCTTTCTGGAGTGTAACTTTGCCCTCATAGCCACCCCCCTTTTCATATATACTCCACTCAGCCAATGAGAGATCAGTGTGAGCTGAGCTGCCTACCACAGCCAATTAAAGGGACACTCCAGGCACCCAGACCACTTCTGCCCATTGTAGTGGTCTGGGTGCCAACTCCCACTACCCTTAACCCTGCAACTGTAAGTTTTTTATAAATTGCAATAATTACTTTGCAGGGTTAACTCCTCCTCTAGTGACTGTCTACTAGACAGCCACTAGAGGGCACTTCCTATAGCGTCGCTGGACATCCTCACGCTTTGTGAGGACCTCCAGCGTCACTCAATTCCCCATAGGAAAGCATTAAAAAGCATTTTCAATGCTTTCCTATGGAGAGCTCTAATGTGCATGCTTGCGCATTAGGTCTCCTCAGCTGGCGGGCAGGATCAGTCAAGTGACTGAAGGGACATCAGCGGGGGTCTCAGGCAAGTGACTGAAGGGGTTTTAACTCCTTCAGCAACGTGGGAGGGAGAGGGGACCTGCAGTGCCAGGAAAACGGATTGTGCTCTCTTATAATTTGCCACCTTTGATCATAGGGCAATATATTATGCAGATAAAACAAGGATATTAATTGGCTATGAGTGAAGACTCAACTGCTCAGCTCACACCTGAAAGAAAGCTAGATTTTATTTATTTTGGATTTTTTTTTTTTTCTCTAAGAGATTTGAACAGAGACTAAAACCAAAGCATAAACATTATGACAAAACCAAATGCACTTAAGTTGTGTTGGTTCCCAGAGCAGCTTTTCCCATATACCTCTACCTGTAACATTGAATAATTAAAAAACTGGTGTTTAGCTAGCACTCTTATGCTGGATTTTGACTGACTGTGCCCCATTAGCATGTCAGCTGTTATACAAGATATGATGGGAACAGTATACATTGAATGTCATGCTCTCACATTCCACTGATTGCATGTATTGTTCGGAGGTTTAAATAACCTGAATAAAAATCTATAGAACTATACGTGTTTTTTTAAATAAACTTTTTTTCATAATATTTTAGCAGTCCCCTTTTGTCATGAGTCTAGACATAGGTGTTCCTACAATTTAGACATACTTCTGCTTAACACCACATAAAGGCCTTAAAAAATACTGACTTCTAGATAGCGGTGTCCCAAACCCTGAAAATAAAATTACTGGAAGGAAAGAGAAGTGGTCAGTTTTAGCTTAGTTTTACTTTTTGATTGTCTGTGATTCTCACTTTACAAACAGATTACTCTTTATACTGAAGCCAGCTGCTATATCAGAAATCTCTTAAAGGGGAACTGTCATTTATCATGACTTTTTACTTATACTGCATATTTAACAAATATGTATTTATGGGGCGTGAGAAGCAAAATGCAATGTAGAATTCAGCACCTCCATATCCTGCAATTTAGCTCCTTATTATCTAATGTGTGCTTTGCACCTGGCAGTCTGTGTATAGAAAGCATACAGAGAAGAGATGCAATTGATTTATAAATAGTGACACAACTGTTTTCACACCAACAATGTATTGCATTTTCTGTTTGTGCCAATATTTTCCTGCAGCTGTGCCACATTGATCCTGTTGGCACCCTTCCCAACAGTTTTGTCCCACACCTAATTTTTTGTATTTTTTTTTAAAAGTGTCAGCTGAGAAGTCAAACCGTTTCTGAACAATAGGGGGGCTGGAGGGGGGCACTACAGTCACCACAACAACAAGCTTTAGTGCTTATGGTGTTTGGAGTGACTATTTATAAAACATAGCTGAATTAAGTTGTTTTAGTTCTTCTTTCTCCAAATGGTGTAATTTCCAGATAAGTGGCAGCCCCCCCTTGAGTGATCCTACTGTAAAACTGTTACATAGTCAATTCCTGAAAAGAAATGCAGATAGCTTTATTATTTGTTTATTTCTATCTTTGTACATGGTTCTGAGACATTGGAAATATTTTTAAAATGGTTTAACTAGATTGTGATTTAGCAACTGAAAAAAATCAGTCCAGAATAGCAAAGGTACTAAAAAAGAAATCCACCAAATGAAAGCTAACTCTCATTTTGGCCTAATTTGAGTGACTTAGGTGAGGGACTTTAATTGTGAACTGCTTGCCAGTTTGCTGTATAGTTGATGGCTTTCATTTCCTTTTTCCCCCTCTCAGTGTTTTTATTTTAAAGTCAGCAATTCAGCAGAACGAGAACCCACACCTTCCCTATTTAGCTGGGGAAAAACCCCAGAAAGTCATGTTTTTCTTTTGCACTGGGAATTGCTACTAACAGTGCTCAGTGCTTCATTTGTCATACAGACAGGCATCAGCCTAAAACGTGGTTATTTTTTCACTTTAAGTACTTGTAGTGTTTATAATGCTAGGTGTATTTTTGGCTGAATCACACCTGCCTTCTGCTGACATTTATTGGCTGACATTTATTGGCTGAGAACATCAACTGAGCACTCTTAGTCAACTAATGTGTGTATGTACAATATGCACAGAATTCACATTAGCCAACCTGGAACTGTTGTTCTTTGCTGGCTAATGACACTGCAGGAGATAAAGTTACACCTACAGCAACAATATAAAATGTCTACGTGCAGCCTTTTATACTACTTATTCAGCGTCCTTGCACCATGACCACTTCAAAACACTTGCGTGATTATGGTGCTGGGAATAAGCTTTTTGATCATTTTTGGGGGGGGGGGGTCATTTGTTCTAAGCCTATGTAATTATATTTTTATTAGTTTAATTGCTCTTAAGAGAGAAGTGCCACCATCAAAACAAAATGGTACTATATGACCACCTCAGTGTTTTTGTTACACTGTAAGGTCTTGCTAACATGGAAAACTGAAGCGCATTGGCATTTTCATGTTGTAGAGTGGCTTTTGCCGTGCTTCCATATGTGAAGGGGCAGTGCATAGTTCTCCAACCTAAAAGTACATCTTAAAAACAGAGGAATACATTGTTGTCGCTATTAACACCTTTGGGATAGGGAACTTTGTTAAACAGTTTGCGGTGGTGGTGTGTGTGTGTGTATTGTATAATAAATTAATAATAATGTTGTTAATGCAAGTGCTGTAATATTGAATGAAGAAGCTATATAGGTTTGTAAAGGGTTTATGTAGTTTTACCTCCATTAAAAAGAAAAAGATATTTGTGTGTGGCATATAAAAAAACCTTGAGAAAACACATATCTAGGTGGCTGTGTGTTTTTATCCTAAATATTGCACTACATATTACTCACACCGCAGCATCTCTGAACCAACCCCCAAATATACTAGGTTCCTTCTGTGCACAGCTCATATACAACCCATGCATATGAGCAACTACCTCTTCTTTACATTTCAACAAATGTTAATATAAAATGCACATCGAATTATACCTTCAACTTAAAACCACAGTCATTTTTTTTCTCTGTCTTTAATATAAAATGCCATAATAACTATGTTACCTGGTTATACAAGAATAGAAAAGTATTATAGCATGTATTTCAGTGGGTTAGGATTTTACAACATGCAGTTACCTAAAAACGCTGCCATAGAAAAAGCCACATGGGAGAAAATACTACAAGAAAAATAAAGGTTTATACTCCACTGTTTCAGCAAGTGTCAAACATTCCTCAGCCATTTATCATATCTGTATCCAGTCCCATACTTAAAAACATTTTTGTTTGTTAGGTACCGTTAATAGTGCATTCCATGTCTCTGATTCTCCCAAAATAACCCATTCAGGAGACAAGCGATGTGCAAAGCATTTCGTAAAGAGCCGTTGCATTAGAAAGCAAGAGGTCAGGTTTAAAAGTCCATTTTTTTTTTTTTGCCAAGCTTCCATCATTTTTCCATGGGTAATGTAGAGAAATTATTTTACAGAGAGTGTTTGTTTTTCAGAGGAAATGACAATCTAACACAAGTAATTCATCTTGAGATAATCATAGGACTATTCTTTAGAGTTAAACATAAGTGGGAATTTGCAGAATTTTATCTAGGTTTGAAAAGCTTATTTTAGAGCCTTTTGGTGTTTAGTAATGCAGACTAACAACCACTAAACCCATACCAGTTCTTCAGCACCCTTTGCAACTAGTCCAGAACTGGTTATTTTACGTCCCAAGGCAAAGGGGGGGTCTTGAGATAAGTGAATCACAAATAAGCAATAATGCTTTCAAAAGCAGAAAAGATATAAAATAAAAAGCTCTACAGTTTAGTATTAGCCTCTAGTATTCATTTGTCTTAGCTCTCGACTTCAGAGATCACATAATCATTCTATCTTCTGCAAGTAACCTCAGTTTGCTAATAAAAACACTATTTTGAGATCTTAATTCTTCACAATAATGTTCAGCCCCAAATTTAGATGAAACTGTGAACATTGCTTAAATTTTAAAACGTACCTGTCATGGATCACACATCTTGGTTTTAAATGAACAGGGATTCAATTTTATCTATACATAAAGTTGTGTATGTACAGGTCCCTTCCTTCACCTGTCAATCAGTTACTGAGATAGCAATCTGTGTAGAGAATTGAGTGTGAGGGGAAAGCAGAACCTTCAAAACAACCGCAGCTTTCTGACGCTGTTGCGCTGGCATGAAGTCTTGATTTTGGCTGAATGGGGAGCTGCTCTCTGCTTGGCCAGTTAGGTGGGAGGGTAGAGGGATGATGGTAGGAATGCAACACCCACAAACCCAATGTGTTGGAGGTGTAACACTGGACAGGTGGCAAGTATTTAATCAGTCATTACAATTATATACAGCACAGTTGGTAAGTAGATACGATCTCTTAAGGCAATAAAATATATTATTTGTTTTATGATATATTAAAATATTAAGGAGAGTTTAGAATTAAAAGGGAACTGGCCGTGCCCATGTATGAATTTCGGAAGTAAGGCCCCAGGACTGATATAGCATATTCTAATTCATGATCATTTCACATTGCACATGGAAGTGATGTGGAGTTAAGTATGTTATGTACTACTTTCCACTACAAAAGCACGTTACATTCATTGGGAATGAGGAAATGTTACATTTGATTCCTCTTAAATTAAGAGTGTCAGTTCTACTTGCATTAATACACTGCTAAATTTCTAAGCGGACTCCCGGGTTTTTAAAGAGATTCTGAAATCGACAAAGCAAGTGGATGACAAGGCATCATTCAGGTCAGTATGACGAAGTTGCACATACATATACAATGAATTTTCCAGAGGACTTATTGATTCAAAGAAATGCTGACTTCCATTTGTCTGCCACTGTGGATGCAAGTGCACAATATTTATCTGAATATTCAATATTTGGTTAGCATAATGAAGAGGACAAAATGTGGGGCTATATAGGACTGTAGTGTAACACTTGTCATGACAGAGTGCTTTTTAATATACATAGCTAAAATCCTCATCATCTATAACATCATGGACCACGATATCATGTGCAGCATCGCACTATTCTTATTACCAAGCTTCATGCTTGGCATTCTGGGATTACACAGGTGTACATTATTATTATTGTTGTTATTATTATTGGCATTTACATAGAACCACCTTATTCCGCTGCGCTTTACAATATCATAAAGGAGGAAATGTAACAATAAATTAACCCCTTAAGCACACAGCTTTAGAAGTAAAAGGCCAACATGGTGAAAAATTTCCATCATGTGTCCTTAAGGGATTAAAAAATGTTACAGGAACAATAAGTTGCAGAGGACCCTCCTCAAATGAGCTTACTATCTAGAGTACACGTACCTTCTTAATTTTGTATCAAATAAAGTGATATCCATTACATCTTAATCTAGAAGTAAATCAAATATATATATATATATATATAGTATCAATCTGACTACTATAATGCATAGATGATATATAATATTGTTAATATAGCGCCAACCTATTCTGTAGCGCGTTACAATGAGGGAAATAAAAACATGGCAAACAAATCAAAACATCAACAAATGCTAACTTTAACTAAAATGATATTCTGATTGTGTGGAATATTAAGTCTTCTTTGGATCTGTATTAAAAATGTTACCAGGCCTCATTCGAGACAAATCACTGGCAAGTGTATAAATTAAAGGATGTCTTAAGTGTGCATCATTTCAGCCTACAGTGGACTATGATTCAGCAGATTCATCCCACAGTTGTTCTCATCGCCAAGAGACAGATGTTGAAACATAATTGTGAAATACGTTTTGTGCTATCAAAACTGCTGTCTAGTCATATGGATATGACCTAAGCACCTCCGGAACAATCTCAGAGTGATAGTAATTTCGTTCTTTAATTATGTGCTGTCAACTTTTCTTTAGCCAGCATTAAATTTACATTCAAAAGGATATATGTCAGCGTTCGTGGCCCATTTCTGAATGCACTGCATCCTCGTGAAATACTCTAGTGACATGTGACATGTCTGCTCTACTTGACAGACCTGGTTTGGCAAATTTGATCTATACTGTGATTTCATGATCAATCGTTAGCTTTTTGCAGATTGTTAGCTTTTTGCAGCTATGTCTAGTCTACAAAACCTCAATTGGCTAAGGATGATGGGAATTGCATTCCTGTCCATATTGGAAGCCAGTGGTCACCCAGTCCTGTCTTAAACTTATAGTTTTCATATTGTACTGCATTTGTATCTCTAAAACAGGCTTTAAAGTGTGGATATGTTAATTGAGTTAGGTTAATGCCTGTGTGGCATTTTTGGTTAATAGTGCATTTGTATATTATGGCAGATAGGTGTTTATCTGCATGTTTACTACATTCTATAAATAAAACATGGATTAAAATATGCATTCTGTGGTTTGCATCTTCAGAAAAAAACATTTAGATATATAAAACAAAAAGTGATATAATTTGAGTGCTCAAGGCACAGAAACATGTTATAGAGGCTTTTGATGACCTCATTAACTGGAAAGTTTACCATTTACTTAATAAATGCCATATCATACCAGAGAAATAGGCATGATCCATAAGGGGGGAGGTTAAAGTTATATATATCATTATTTTGCACCTAAATTTTGTCTGTAGTAAATAAGAAAGTGAGCTTCAAATAAGAGGTTGACTAATAAACTAAAGGTGTCTAAAGCATATAGCATAAAGACAGTGTAAGCATCCTTGCCACTTTAGTTCGTTTAAGTGGTTGTGGTGCAATATGGCATAAAGACCGTGTAAGCATCCTTGCCACTATAGTTCGTTTTAGTGGTTGTGGTGCAGAAAGCCTTTAAGTGCAAGACAGCAGTGTTTTTGAAAAACCACATTGAGAGGCCAGGTTTTTGGTACCCCGAAAGCCCTGGAGGGACTAGACCTAAAGACTCCATCTACCACAACCTCTTCAATAAGCAAGTATTGGTTGTGGTGCTTAATGTCCCTTTAACAAATGTGTTTTCTGTCTTGTATTTCTTCCATATGTTGTTTGGAAAATAAGCATGCAATAGGGGGAAAATGCTACTCGTATAGACAAACAGAAAAAAACAAAAAAGCCATCTTATCTACACCCAAGGAACATTTTCTACTTACCACTTGTCCAACTCCTCTTACATACAGAATGCTCTTTTTTTTTTTTAGTAAATAATCACATAAGGAGGTGTAAGCATTGTAAAAAAAATTCTACACTTCCAAATGCAAAATAAGTCATTTGTTCCATACATTATTTCTGTTTATTTTCTTCCCTCATATGTCCCGTTTTCTAGTTCTTGTCCTATATGAATGATATATTTTTTTCCATAGTACTTCTTGAGGTTCCGAGCTGGTCATCTTAATTAGTCATGCATAAAGCCAACCTGTCTATTTTTTTAACCCAACGGGTGAGTAGGAAGAAAATACAAAAGTACGTCCTTTAATTTGTACACTCGCTAGCGATATTGAGATATATAGCTACCAGAATGTGAAACTGTCGTCCTTATGATATGTGTATAGCTTGTGCACTTTAAGAAAGAGTCATGTCAGCATTTTCACAATCTCTATTTCACAGGCTGTAATCTATCAGTTAACGTTTTATTTTTTATATTTATTTAATGTGTAAGTACTATTGTAGAGTTAAAGTTTGTAGTAACCCGCGTAGCTTGATGCTGAAGGGTTTTGTTTTGCGTATGTCCTGCTTGTAACATATGGACTGTGATCAGCAGCAAAGCACTGCTGTCAACAAATTTTAATACTTTAATAACTTTGCAAGTGTACATGCCAACCATCTGGGAATAGCTTACAAAATAAAACCGTCCAAATGATTGCATTACTTTTTCTATATGCCAGATTCACTTTAAGGGGACAGAGATTGAAGAGATTACGGAGAAGCAGTTTACAAAATCCATTCTTATGAATTCATTAAAACCTGTGTGTCGGAAAGGTGTCTTGTTCAGTTTTCTATCCGAATTGTAGCTGCTAACCTCTATCTGCATTGGCATCATTATCTGGGCTGGAATGAAAAAGGCACCAATTATAACTTTCATTCTATACCCTTGACTTGCTGAGGTCTAAAAATGGCAAATTTCCCAAATCAGGATACAAAATAAGTAAATGATTTTATAGGCAGGTATTGAATTTATCAGTAATTTGTTTAAGGTGCTGCAGTATATAGTTTTCTCACTAATCATAGATTCCTGAATGTGAAGGGGGGGGAGGAAATAAAAAAACGCAACCTTTGGCACTAGTAAATGTAATTTTGATACACTCTCTCCCTCTGAAGAATGCATTGCGAAATATCTGAAAATAAGAAAGGAGTACTTTCGCTAACCTGTACTTTGTAGAAAATAGACAAGTGAGTTGCAAATCTCAGGTCACATAAAGCCAAACTGGAAAATGATTACACTCTGGCTGTTTTTACCTTCACCTTGCAATTCCCTTGTCAAATCTCCACAATTTGTGCTTAATTATAATGATCCCCAAGTGAACAATTTTGTACCACATCTCAAATGCTTTCTTTGTGCCAGTTGACACCATGTTTGTGTAGAAAGTGGTTCCTCTTTTTGGATAAAAAAAACTGTTGGATAATTGAAGCTATGGGGATTCCGGAAGGAGCACTGAATCCCTTATACCATAACTAACTGGGTAAAAAGATTCTTGAAGATGAGATCTATATGTGTTTCAATGCAATGATAAATAGGTGGTTATAGGGAGGTGACAATATTTCCCGTTTACTGTACAGTAACAAGGTCTCCCTCTACACATTACTGTGCTTGTATATATTAAAATGCTTTGAATATTCTTACACTCTTCATTTTGCTTCTACCATTTTCTTACACAAACATTCCATGTGCTTATTAGGACCATTTCACTATTTTGTTGTTGTTTAGGTTTGGCCAATTTCCTGTTCTCTTGGAGCTACGATGGGGTACGCAGCTGGCCTCCTTTTTGGCCCTTTGTGGATTTATTGGAACAGGAAGAAACTGACATACAAGAACAGGTAGAAGTTAAATCGACTGTTTGTGCCAATTCCACCAGAAACATGAATGCGTCCCATGTTGGAGCATTGACATCACATTGGAGAGATCAAGTTCGGATGGTTTGTAGAAAGTTGTCCGTGTGCCGCAGCCCCGTGAGACATGGGACAGTTGTAGCTTGTAAAACCCTGAGGAAACTATTTTTACTTTCAAAGACAACGTGGATCAAATATTATTTTCTTTGAAATGCTTTCACTTTGGAAATTGTGGTGTTTAAAAAGCAGATCAATAAAATATTTATGCAGCTGTGGTGAAGGTTTCATGTGCAGCAATAGACAAGATGTCATGTCTTCTCACAGTAGAGCAGGTCATGCATGTTCATGTTTCACGTGATGAGACAGCAGTTAATACATCGTGATCCTATCCTTTTTTTCATGGGGTTTTTCTTTGGAGTTAAGATCGCAATAATGGACTCATCAAAAACAGCCTTCAGTCCTTTTTGTGTTAAGGCAGAGCACTCAACATAGCAGCATGCCCCGATCTGTAAACCAAAAACCAGCCTGTTAATTTGTATTTAGAAAAAATAATAGCAATTTTTATTTTATTAGAGGTTGGAAAAGTTTCCATTGCTTTGGAGATACAGGACCCCGATTACAGAATAGTTTAAATTCAATCCTTAAAAGGTGCACTGCAGGTATTGTAACCATTTCATCTCATTGAATTTGTTATAGTACCTGGAGTTCCCTCGCACTGTCCCTCCATTCAGTGTTAAAATATTTTCCAGCAGTTTAACATTAAATAAGCATTCCTACCACAGGTCCCTACTGGAAGGTATGGCTAAGGCAGAGATTGCACACTTCCTTTTAGCCATACCGATTGATACCAGCAACGGCGACTATGACAGCTGACACTCTCATGAGCTGCTCAGGCCAATGCTTCCTTTAGAAGCCCAAGTGTCATAGAAAGGATGGGCTTCTAAGACTCTCGTTTAGCATTAAAAACTGCTTAACACTGAATGGAGCTGAAACATCAAATGAAAAGGTATATGTTTCTCTGAATACTACTAAATGCATGATATTTAGAAATGCTTCAAAATGTATTATGCAGTAAATGAAAACTTGGAGGACCATATGAACTTTTTAAATAAGTGCTTTGTATAAATATAAAAAACAATTATTACAACTAATGTTCATATGGTCCTCCAAGTTTTCATTTACTGTTTTTTTCATTAATTTTATATATATATATATATATATATATATATATATATATATATATCTTCCTATAGTTCCTAAAATTAAATGTCTTAATAGCTGCTGTATTGGCTTTTTTATGTGCAGGAAAGAGAAGCCACTTATGTTAATTGCAAAGTTAAAGTGGTTTTGTTTAGGAGCGAGTTAACCATGTGAGCATACCAACCATTGCTAGTCAGTGGCTTGCCGCCATTTTGTCAAACACACTACACAAGCAAAGCTAGTTAATCAATGTTTGGCCACGAGAACGCGGGAGAAAAAGCAGCGGTTGGTCCCATAGTCGTATATTATTTGACAATTACAACAGAAATGTTTAACTATTTTATTATCCTCATCATTATTGTTGCAAAATACCATTTTATTCTAACCATTTTCTAATGTTTCTACGTTTTAAATAAAAATCTCACGTAAAGTCTACAACTATTCGAGCGGCAACATCTTACCACCCATGAATTGTATGAGTGAAATAGAGAAAAATGCAGTAATAAAAAGCAATTGTGAACATCTGATGTGAAAATTAGGCACGTGTGTCTCAGAAGAGGACAAGAGCCCATTTTAAGGATTTCAGAAAAGCATAACTATCATGATGACAGTGAAGTTAAATTATCTGGAAAGAAATACTTTGTCCTTGAAATGAGACCAGTTCTCTGCAATGCAATTTATCTTCCTGTTCAGTAGGCACTAAAAGTAAATTGTTAGCTTTCTGTATTTCATTGCTTCTACAAATTCTACTGAAGGTTAGCGAGAGTTCTAAATATATGCTACTTGGGGAAAAAAAACACTATATATATATATATATATATATAAATGTATATTTAAAATTTCAAGTCCCACACCAGTGTTTTGCAATATTTTATGGAGAACCACCTCTGCAGGTCCAAACAAATATTTCTAAGTACCGCTGCTTAGAATAGTAATTTCTATTGATTTAAAAGGAACAGATATACAAACATGTATTCCTGACACTATCTCAGACAATCCTGTGCTTTCCCTTAGAAAAGCATTGGGTGGCCATCGAGCATGTGTGGCAAAACGCAGCGCCAATCAGCATCTTCTCAGAGAGATGCATTTCATTAATGAATCTCAATGGGGTACGTTTTGCACCTCCATGCAGAGCACTGAACTAGGAAGCACCTCTAGTGGCCACCTGAGTGACTAGGCAGCAATGAAAACACTGCCTTTTCTCTGAAATGGCAATGTCTACAGTGCTAACATTGCAGGGACATGCTATAGACATAAGAACCACTAAAGTAAGCTGTAGTGGTTCTGGTGACTATAGCGTCCCTTTAAATTGCAAATGAAACGTGTAAACACTGATATCTGAGTTAATCCCATATTGGAGAACAAGCCTGATTAAATAGTAAAATAATATTTTTTAAATAAATGTGACATGTAAATATTGTAAAGAGGAGTGTGTGAACTATTAATCTGAAGTATAACAGTCACAACATAAAAATATAATATACACAAGAATGACTAAAGCGAGGAACGAGGATAAGACGAGCAGATATAGAGGTAATTATAGGGTAAGTAAAGTCTAAAAGTAGACAGACATTAATGTCTTATGAAGGTAAAAAGGGGTAAGACAGATGGGTGGGGGCAGAGTGGAAACTATATTCTGGCCCTATAGTTCATTCTCCCTCTCTGCCTCTGAGTAGCAGAGATGATTCAGATTCCACATGTATAAAAACCCGGTCCCTGTGCAATCCCTGCAGTGGTTTGGTTAGCAATGTGGGCCCTTTTATGAGAGCTTCTTGGGCAAGCTACAGTGCCAAGTCACATAAAGGGTGGCATCCAGTCACTGTATGCCATTCCTATGTGAAACGACATAGCGTACCCTAAAATCTGTGCACGTGAAAGCTTAATGTTCTTTTTAATGCATCCATGGGGACGAATGAGTTAACTATCTTTAAACATGCTCTACAAAATGCTATTCTTGGTCTTTTCAAAGTCTAAAAATTACAATGACAAAGCCAGACAATCTGTAAAGCACACACATTCAAACAGGTTAATGCTTCCCACAAGCGATATCCTGAAATAGAGCCTTATAAAGACCAAGAAGGAATTCACTGAATGACAGCAAATTGTCTTTAGACGTCTGAAGGCGCTCAGACAAGGATTGGAACATTATATCCTTTTACCTCCTTCGCCAGTTTCTGCCCCTGATCCATAGTAATGGGTTTCTCTTTCACATCATTTAGTTTTGCTAAAGTTTTGGGATCATCTCTAAGGTCGGTCTGAAAAAAGCACAGAAAAATAATAGACATGCTTTCATATCTTTTTATCCTTTATAATGAATACAAAATGAAAAAAAAAAAAAGACCAATGCATAACATGATAAATTTATGAAAGAAATAAGAAAATGCCCTTGTGAACCAAGTACTATCATTGCTCTAACAGAAAAGATAAAATGATTAGAAGCAGATTGCACAATATCTTATAAGAAGAACTTTGTATGATCTTAAATGTTGGGCACTCCTAGACAGCTACTGTAACATTCCTCTCTGAAACAGCTTCTCTTCACTCTACTGGTGCAGAGAACGCAAAGGGGCTAATTCACTAAACATCAAACTGCAGTGAACTGAAAATTGAATAAAACAACATTTGGGTAAAATGTCCAGAAATGGGAACTTAATGAAGCAGTTTTGAAGTATAGATCATGCCCCTGATGTTTCTCTGCTCAATTATCTACCATTTAGGAATTAAATCACCTGTTTATGCAGCCCTAGTAATGCCTCCCTGCATGTCACTTGCACAGCCTTCCTAAACATTTCCTGTGATGTGAGATCTAATGTTTACACTTCCTTTATTGCAAATTCTGTTTAATTGAAAATTTCTTATCTCCTGTTATGTTAATAGCTTGCTAGACCCTGCAGTAGCCTCCTGTGATTAAAGTTCAATTTACAGAACAGAAAATAAAAAAACTTAAAGTAAGATACATCTGATCGAAAGCGAAAACATGCTGGTTATGTGAGTCACAGCCAGGAAAGGTGTGGGTAGGACTGCAGAAACAGAATTAAAAGTTATTCAACTCCTAAATGGCGGAGAATTGAGAAGTAAGACTTCAGAGGCTTGATCTATACACCAAAACTGCTTCATTAAGCTAAAGGTGTTTTGGTGACTATAGTGTCCCTTTCATTTTCACAAACTTAACTTTTTTTCTTTTTGAACATGGAGAATTTAATGATATATTGGAAAGCCAGACAGATTTTCCAACAGTTACACCAGTCCTTTGTCTAGCATTTAAATTATAAAAAAAATGGCAAATGACAGAGGCAATTCAACAAGGCCTTATTGTAGAATGGAGTTATGAATTATTTCGCTTTTGGATTGTAAGCACATTTGGTCAGGGTTCTCTTCACCTACCGTTCCTGTATGTCAAATGTAATAAATGTAATGTAATAACTTGATGCTTATAGATAAAAAAATTTTAACCTTGACAAGAGTCAGTTCAACTATTTTATTGCTGTATGGTGCAAGCATGTTACCTGTGTTCCGACCAATAAAAAAGGTACATTCGGTGCATATTCTTTTAACTCTGGTATCCATTCCTCATTCACATTCTGAAATGAAGCGGGGTTTACCACAGAGAAACATATCAAGAAAACATCCGTCATGGGATAAGACAACGGTCTCAAGCGATCGTAATCTTCCTAAAATATAAATCAAGCATGATTAATGGACAGATGAAGAAGCCATAAAGCACGTCTCATACAGATTTAAGAGATTATTCCACTGTAATAAGAATCACGTCAGCTGTGAGGCCCACTGCATGAAACATATTAAACAAAACCGAGAGGCATGCTGACCCATTCGTGGCATGAGAAGAGTTAAATGCCTTCTAAGCAGTAGCCATATCTGTAACAGATCTGTTCTCAATTTCCTGTGAAAATAAAAACTCATATTACCAGAAAAGATGTCAATTAGAAATTACAGAGTTGAGCTGCTAAAAGTAAATATCAAAACGTATTTTAAAAGGGTTTAATGCTAATATTTACACGTTTTAATTCTCTCATAGTATAAATGGGGAGTAAATGTCCAGTTCTTATCATGTTGATAGGACCCTCTTTCCATGCATTTGTCTGTCGACACCTAGAGGATATGTTGTAGTCAAGACAATACAGGTACTTCTCGGCTAATATGGGAGCTACGAACCATGGGAATATATGTCTGCATTCAAGCATTGGTCAGTTGAGAGCTTTTAACACATCGATCAGGTTTAAAATGTAAGTTAGATGGGGACACTAGGGGACACAGACACATGGGGACCCTGTGAGACATAGGGATATTAGGGGACACAGAGACACTAGGGACACAGTGTCTCCATGTCTCCCAGCCAGTATCTCAGCATCTCCTAGTCTCCCAGTGTCTGTGTCCCCATGTCTCTCATCTGACTGGTATTTTACCAGCACAGCCGATATTTCAGGCTGGCTGGCCGTGCTGATATTGCAGTAATACCGGCAATACAAATGCAGATTTTTTTTTCAGACTGGCCTAAAAGTTACTAGTGCTCTCTCTGGAATGTGAGAGAACAGTATTTTGCTTACAGTTGATATCATTCTTGTGACATGAATACCAGTGTTTGTGGAAATGTTCAGTGTGGATGGTCAGAGTGTGTGAATGCAGGTGTGTGTAGATTGTCAGTGAGTGTGAATGCAGGTGTGTGGATTGTCAGGAAATGTGAGTGCATGGGTAGGTTTGTGTACGGTATCAGTGAATGTGAATGCATGGGTATATTAGTGTCAGTGTCTGTGTGAATGCTAGGGTGCTTTATGTGTTATATAGAGATTATGTGAATGCTAGGGTGCTTTATGTGTTATATAGAGATTATGTGAATGCTAGGGTGCTTTATGTGTTATATAGAGATTATGTGAATGCTAGGTGTGTTTGTGTGGATTGTCAGTGAGTGTGACTACAGGGGTTGGT